AAGGAACATCTTATGTCCTGTAATGCAGGGCATGTATCAAGATGTTCTCCTGTCATCATATCCAAGGAACATAGAGGGCATGTCGGGCTATCTTTTACACCAATGCGGTGGAGGTGCTTCTGAAGGAAATCATGGCCTGTGAGCATTCTAAAGCATGCCACGGCTTGCCCTCTATGGAGGTCTCTAGGGATCCTGCCACTTTCTTCGAGCAATCCACTCCATCGTTTCCCTTCAATTGTTCGCACATATTTCTCTTTCAGTGAACTTTGGAGGGTCTGTTTTATGATTCTTTTTGTTGAATCCATGTCCATGTCCAGCTTGTCAGCTTCATCAGTTCTGTGGAGCTCACAATGGCCTGGTATCCACTGGAAAGCAACTCCTGTCCCATTTTCCTTTAATCGGTTCAAATATAGATGGCATTTAGAAACATTTGGATTTATATGATATCCATTTTGAGAGAGACAAAATGTCTGCCTGTGAGTCAACAAAGAAAGCAACTTTCTTGTTTTTCCGTTCAATTAACCTCTCAAGGCCTAAGAGAATGGCTTTAACTTCCCCTTCAAAGTTTGTGGCTACCTTTCCGACTGGGGCGGCAAGTTGAAACTCCTTTGAATAAACTCCAGCTCCGGCATGTTTGCATGCTGGAAGTGAGTATGTCAAAATCTAAAAATCTGACCTATATGTTGTTAGCAAGGAAATGTTCATCATTTCATACTCTATGTAATGAGCTGTTATTCAAAATTTTATCTTAACTCGATACCGTGTTAGGGAGTCGAAAAGAGAAAAAAATGTTTCAAAAACCAAATTATAACGATTTTTATTGAAGATATGGATTAAATTATCTCAGAAACTAAAAATCGTACCTGCATACAACCTGTATACCTGAATGTAAGCAAGGAAAATATTCAGCATTTTATCCTCTTTGTATTGAGCTATTATTTATAATTTATATTTCATATAATTAATCTTGTCTTGTTGATGTTCTCACTTCTATCGTGTGGTCTGAAGCACACACCTTAGTTTTTTAATTGTGAGTTAATGGTTGACTGTCGTGAATTATGAAGAGAAGGATGGTTGGGGTGATCTTGTTATTGTCATTATTCTACCAACTTCATTTTACTTTATTTTTACCTACATTGTTTATGTCTCACATACCTAATTATCTGGGTTTTTTTCTTAGCCCTGATGAAGGCCTGAACTTCAGGTTGAAACGTCAGCCTATAATAATAAATATTATTATTTATTTTGTCTTTTTGTTTCTGACTGATCACCCCAACCAACCTTAGTTTTTTATTTATTATGTACTTTAATACTGAAATTTCCAACCAACTTCCCTTGAATATAATAAAATACTTTTTTTAAAAAGATATTTGCCTGATTACTACAATTTGTTTATGTAATCCCTTTACTTACTAATTTCCAATGTATTTAACTAATGTAACTAAAAATCGCACCTGCATATTTTAGGCGAGGGAAATGTTTATCATTTCATCCTCTTTGTAATGAGCTGTTATTCAAAATTGTATCTTACTGCGACACCGTGCTAAAGAGGAAAAATAGTGTCAAAAATCAAGTAATAAGTTTTATTAAAGATATGGATTAAAATATCTCAGAATCTAAAAAACAGGCCAGCATACTGTAAGCTTAATCTCGCCTTGTTGATGTTTTTACTTCTATTGTGTGGTCTAAAGCACACATCATAGTTTTTTGTTATTTCTATTAATGTCTCATTCCTAGTATATATTTTTCCTTGCACTTATATGGTAATGGAAAGTATTGAAAGTAAATGAAAAATTGTTGAATTATAATTTTAAACGGATAAACATATTGTGAGGTTCTCCGAGTCTGGACAAACTGTCTATGTGTGTATGAATAGCCTATTTCAAAAACAAAGAAACAGTATTTATATATTTAAGGTATGTTACAGAAATTTTTTACCTAAATCAACTTACCATAAGTGGTACATTATATAATTAATTTCACGCTTTTTTAAAGTTTCCTCGAAAAAAGTTCTGATTTTGATTTAACTCATATATTTTCAAAATTTAATGACCTTTAAAATCAGCTTCATTAGAAATAATCTGATAGGTCTTAATTCCAATTTTTTCATAATTTCTTTAATTTCGTTTATTTGAAGTAAATTAACCGCCTCTCAATGTTGTTTGTATTAAAAATGGCTAAATATAAATTATGAAAGAATTTGATAATTAACTAAAGGAGAAAAAAGGAAAAATATTTTTCCAGGTTGAAAATAAAACTGAGAAAGGTGTGTTGTGTTTTCAAACTAATTTTAATTTTGAGTTTCTAATAAGATAAAATAGTGAACACATTCTATTTTCTTCATTTTTGAGCAAGTGAATACATTTATATTATTTAATTACACAAGTGTATATTTGATACACATTTAGCTATAGATAAAAAATAATAAGATAAATAAATAAATAAAATATGCCCAAAAAACTTTTACATCCTAAAAAAAATTCCTTTAAATCTTTTACATCTAAAAAAACACACTAAATCTAGGTGAAAACTCAAATAAGCAGCCTTGCTAAAAAGGCGATCTGCCTCGTATTCCACTACAGAACCTTTTTTTGTAATTGAATGATAACTTTATTCCAAGATCTAATTATATTCGGCTCATGATAATTAGAATTCCAAGAGACTACAAGAAAAATTTGAATTATCGAGACTTTGAGTTATCAAGAGAAAAGAAAAATAATTCAAATTATTAAGTGTTTTTATTATATTTTTCAAAATATGTATGGACTTACATTAATTTTATTTTATTTTTTTTTTGTTTTGTTTATGTTTTTTATTGTCATTATTGTATAATTTGTTATAAAAATATATGAATTAAGTTAGGAAGAGAGAGGAGAAAATATGGGGAAGAATAAGAGAAATGTATAAGGAGAGAGAATGGAAAGAATTGGAAATAGAATGTTAATAAAAAAAATACTGAAAAAAGTAGAGAAAAACATAATACATTAATTAATTAAAAAGAAAATTGTTTACTGTCTGATATATATTGATGATAATGTATATTTATATACTAGTTTTAAGAATTGTCCAGTGTATTGATTTTATATGTACCCTTTTATCAAAATAAAGTGTTTCTCTCCTAGCCTGATATAAAAAATATTACTAGGAAAATTTCGAATTATAACGAGGGGAAATGCTCTTGATCGAATTGTAGAATGTTCTGTTCCCCTCTTGTTATGAAAAGGATTTTGAGTTATTGAGCTGTCAAAATACAGCATTTTTTTGATTTACTGAAGTTAACAGTTGGAGAGTTTGAATTGTCAAAAAATTCTAATGGTCGAGAGTCGACTGTAACAACAATTTGCTTTTAAAACATGTGAGAATGTTATTGTTTTAAAAGAAAATAATTTTCTGTTTTATTAACCCCACTTACAATGAGATAACTCAAAAATATATTTACACTTTGTCTTTTAACAGAATAGGTATGCTACTTCTCTAAATTCATTTTGTTAATCCATAACGTGCTGTACCATGTTTTTTGTTTTTAAATCCACCTTATTGAACTACATTTTCAAATCTTATTACATTTTTATATAAAATAATTTATAATTAACCATATTGAATTTATAAATGCCATATAATTTGAACCATTTACCTGCCTAAAGCACTTAACTCCAACAGGAGTATGTTACAATCTATAGGCCTAATTACACAACGGATAAGCTATCAGATATTTTGAAAAATATGGTTTCCCTGGCAATAAAGAAAAAGATAGTATTACAAGTATCACATGCTATGTCTGTACATTTCCTCCTGTTTGTGTCAGTTAACAAAATATATTATGTTATTTAAAAAGATTTTAAATCTGAGCAGTTTAAATCGTCTTTTCATTTCTAATATTAACTATTAGTTGACCTGTGTGAATAATTTGTGTAGTAAATAAATGAAATGGTATTTATTTCAGGGAGAAATTAATTTTAATTAAAAACAACAGAAGAAAACATGAATATAAATTACAATCAGCAGTATCATTGCGAAGTATGGTCCGATTTTGATTTTTTTCAGTTTGTTCTGAATGCTCTAGTTATGTTTATTTTTCTTTATAACTTTTTCCTGACTTTTCTGAGGATGTGCATATAAGGATCATGATTATATAGAGACCGGATTTTCATGTTATTACACATTTTGTTAGCTTTGGTGTAAAAACTTCAAACCTGACTATTTATCCGTTTCACAATCTGTAGAATAACATATTAAAATTTCATTTGTATGAAATTGCACGTTTTGGTCTTTTCAGGCTTAATTGCAAGTTTTTGTTGCATAAATTTTAATTTTCACGGTATAAAGTAAAATGTCTATTGGCTGAATATTCTTTGACAAAACACCGCTGGCTTATGTGGGGGGATATGGATTTTAATAAAAACTAAGGAGCTTAATTCAAAAATATACTTTTTTAAAAATTTAAATTGATCTACACTTGTAAAATCAAGGCTCAATTAAAAAATGCATGGTTTTATAAAAATATATAAATTTTTGTTAGCTGATTTTCTTTCATACAGAATAGAGATAATCTTCATTCATTTTAAATTAGAATTATATTTTTCTCAGGTTACTACACATTATACCTAACTGCAATTCATAGGCTTTAACTCTTCACATAGGAGTAATCAAGCATTAATGCTATAAAATAAACAAAAACTATGATTTTCGCATTTTATGTATACAATTTTCCACTTTTTGAGTTTTTATTGCATGATTTTGAGTCTTATATTGCAAGTTCTTCGGTTTTTCACTGCATGAAAATTCGATCTCTAGTCATGATCTTCGTGTTGAAATATTTAACAGACAACTTATTTGTAGACTTTTAAAATCAACTGCTTTGAAAGTATGATTCGTCACTTCTCCATGAAATTCCATTGCTTCTGAGAGCAGGAAAAGGGATTTATTTTATCTCATTTTAAAGTATAGACTTTTTTTTTCCATTTAAAGGGAAATTAAATGATGAATCTCAAAAGAAATAGTAACACTTAGATAAAAATATTTATTTACATAAGAACAAGAACAATATTACTTAAAATTATACATAAATAAAATAATGCATATAAACAGGTATCTTGATCACAGATAGTTCAGTTCGTCAATTAGAAATTTTCTTATGTGATTTTATCCAGGTGGGCTTGGCGATATTGATTGGTAACACTCGTTGCACGGTGATTCTTTCATCGAATACATTGGAAGCATTATAAAATTCGTAAAGTTCTTCCATAGCTTTATCTTCTAACTGAAAATGTAAATTGACAAAATAAATAAATTAATTCAACACTTCTTATTAAATTAATTGGGTTATTACAATTTTATTTAAATACCTGATTAAGAGTGAAAGGTTTAGCTTTCATTTTAAAAAAATTATCTTTTTCTTGTTTCTCGCTTGCAATAATTTCGACAAAACTTGAAACCATTGGAGGGCTTGTACCATGATTTCTAAAAAAACAAAAAAAAAAAAAATTAATTAATCATATACTAAAAATTAGAACACTATTCCTGAAGAACACAATAATTTCAGCTTCCTCACAATTTTAAAGGGTCATAAGAGACTATGCTTATTACATTTCACTAAGATTATAATTTTATTTATAACTAAATAGAATAAAAAAACAAAACCTGTACTACCACAACCCACGGAGGGTCTAGGGCTCAGTATTGTGTAAGGAGTACTGTTCAAAGGCCAACGTTGTGCAGGTAGGTGATCGGGCCGGGATCACGCTCATCAATTAAAAACAGGTCTAATAAATCACATCAAGTTTAGAAACTTGTATAACTTAAATGTTCTTTGTATGGCATAAAGCCACTTGTTACCTGGAGCCAACCTGGCATTCACTTCTTCTGTCATTCTGTTGTCATGTGTAATGACTGCTCCAAGGTACTTAAAAGTGCTTGTACTTTTAAAACTGTGATCGCCAATCTGCAGATCATGGTATTCCAGTTGTTGATGCCTGGAAGTTTTTAAATATTTTGGTTTTCCTTCATTTACTTGAAGGCTAACTTCTGCTGCTATCCTTTCAAACTCCTCAAAAGCTCCTCCTAGCGCTGCAGTGTTTCTTGCCATTATGAGGACATCATCCTCATATGCCAACTGCAGTGTGAGCCGATCATTAATTGTTCCATTAATTCATTAATCCATTAATTCGTATTGCCCTAATAGCTTTTTCCAAGGCTAAATTAAAAAGGACAGGTGATAGTGGGTCTCCCTGCCTCAGGCCACTATTTACTGCAAATTCTTCTGATAGCATTCCCTCTATTTTTATCTTCGTCCTGCTATCATGTATTGTCATTTTTGCTAGCCTAGTGAACTTCCTGGGAATTTCCAATTCAAGCATTATCTTCAGTAATTCTTCTCCATCAATACTGACGTACACCTGCTTAAAATCGATAAATAAATTATGGAGGTCAACGTGAAATCCATATCCTCTTTCAAGAATTTGTTTTAATGAGAATATTTGATCGAAGATTGATCTTCCAGGCCTGAAACCACACTGATAGTCGCCCAGTATCTGTTCAGAAAACTTTATCAGCCGTCGGTTCAATAATACAGAGAATACCTTGTAGGCTGTATTCAGCCTTGTTCAGTTTAAAAATCAACCAGCCAACCTATTGTGGCGTGATATTACTTGAGGTTCAGGCATCACCCTCTTAAGTGTTCTAGCATCAAACATACTCGTATTTGCACTCTTTTTTGGACGTATAAAGCTTTTTACTTGTTACTGAGTTGAGAACTGCCTATTACTAGTACATTTACTATATACTAATTTTAATTGTTAAATAGAAATCGATACCAGACTATTCATACATTATTCCTTAACTTTGAATTACATTGAACAAGCCATTTTTTACTTTCACTTACGTATATATGTAATATATAGTAAGGATGAGTTTGCGTGAGTCTAAACATAATTCATTTCCAAGACTTTTCAGTTCGAATCATTTCTCTGAGTCTGTTTAACATAGGAAGAATAAATCAAACTCATAAAAAGTTCTTAGGAAAATAACGAGATGTGAAAAATTTTGAATCAATAATCACTATAACGTCATTTCAGTTTCGTACTTCTTTTACTTTCCCTTACGTATATATGTAATATATAGTAAGGATAAGTATTGCGATCGTGAAAATTTTCGAATCTCAGTTTTAAACGGAAATACATGTTTCGAGGTCCCCTGAGTTCAAATAACCAAGTGTCGCAAAATGGTCTGTGTGTGTGTGTGTGTGTGTCCCTGTGTGTTAACAGTCTAGCTCGTGAACGAAAAACAGTACGAAACTGATATTAAGTATTTAAGGTTTGTATATGGGCCGGATGTGACAACAACTTTTTCGTTAAAATTGGCTAACCGGAAGTGCCACTTTATATGAATGCTGAAACACATTTTTACAATTTTCTCAAAAACGGCTCTAACGATTTTGATCAAACTCAGTGTATCATTGTATAATTAAGAGGTCTTTAATATCATTTAGGTCTTATCCCCGTTGATGTCAGTTTACAGTGCTTAAATGCCCAATGTTCATATATGTCTTCCTCTAAAGTAGCTTTAATATGGTTTATTTTAAAAAGTTAACCATTTCCCATTATTCAGAGTTACAAAGACAAAAAATTCAAAATATAACTTTTGAAAGAATTTGATAAGTTAATAAAGGAGAAAAAAAATTAGAATACAGAAAACCTGCATTGCTATAGACTGTAGCACCTAAACGAATGTACCGATTTCAATGAAACTTTGCTAAAGTCATTTTCTTGACGCCCTTTAAATTTATCTATATAACATCAACGAAAAGAAGCTGGAAAAAAGTTACGAGGGATGGTAAAATTAAATTCCAAATAACTCAAAAAGTTTACTCTTGTTTGTGGATGTTGTTTATGGTGTTTTAAAAGTTTACGAAATTTCCTAAAAACAAAAAAAAAAAAATCATCAAAATCGGACAATTATGAGCAAAAATATGGTCTCTGGTTTTTTTAAATATGTTCTGTTCCAAATGTTATATCCTTTGTTTGGTTTTTAAATTTTGAATGTGTTACTGATGAAATGCTATTTTTTTTAGCATATTAGCAATGATTAAAATTATAGTCCAATAATTGGAATCACCTTTTATTTATTTTTCTTTGTAACTAGATTATTATATCTTTGTGATTAGATGTATAATTGTCTGGAAATACTAAACCATTGTGGAATAATTTGCAGAGTTTTTTACATATAGGCGTATCGAGGAAAATACACTAGCGCATCCATAAGCTATGGAGGAGGATGGAGTTTGATAAAATTAATTCTGGATAATTTTTTTCACTTATACTAAACATTAAATATAAGTCATACTTCATATTAAAGAAGACTAAAAGCTAAATAAAATGGATTACATTTCTTCTTCTTTCTTTTTGAAATCTTCCAAAGGTGGGATGATCGTCCATCCTTTGAATTGAGGTTTAGGAGATTTTTCATTTTCCGGCACGGCTGCTTTTTCTTCAAGTTCTAACGAACGCCTCTTTCTCTCCTTTTGAGATAATCTCGGAGGGAAAACTTTTCTTACCTCTTGACTGAAACAAAAAAAAAAAAAAATTATAATTTTTAAATTAAGTAAAGAAAAAAAAATTAATCTAAGTAATATTGGTTAAATAACATGTAAAAAGTAACTACCTGTTTGAGAAGCGGGTTTTGTTATTATATGCTGGATGAGAACACTGATAATCCAACTCAGGGAAATCGGACACATTCAAAACAGTTTCATAATCTGGTGGGGAACCTGCAAATTCTGTTTTGATTTGTTTAATCGGAACTGCGGGAACAGTTATATGTTTTCCTTCAGGTATGATTTCTGGAACTACCGTTTTCTTCGGAGGGGTTTCCTTCTTTTTTGGTATTACTACGCTGGGTTTTGGTTGTTTTTCTTTCGGCTCTTTATTTTTTATTTCTGGTGCATTGTCTTTCTTTTCTGTACGTTCAGCTAAAAATAGCAATAATAATTATAATTAAACTGGTAAAACAATATAAAAATTGTATTAATGAGTTTAACATATGCTCATGGTTTGAAATTGATAATAATTTTTTTTTCACAAAATCATGTAATAATCATTACATTTAATTTTAAATTTAAAAATCATACCTGATTTAAATTTAAATTAATCTTTGATGTTTATTGATTCGATAAAAAATAATGATTAAATTGTGATTAGAAAATAAATATCACCTTTTACACACAAATTAAATTAAATGTTACTATGATGTAGAGATAGTTGACCGTTGATATAATATGAGAAAGAGTTAATCGGGGGGTGCTGTCAAATAAATACTAAATTAAAATATAGTAATTATATAATTTTTGCCGACATTTCGACCCACTTTGCAGGTCGTCTTCAGGGCTACAAAAGATACAAAACATGGTGAAAATAAAAAAATTAATATAAGTAGATATAAAATAAGAAGTTGTCAGATACAGAAATAAAATTTTTTATTTGTAGCCCTCATGAAGACCTACAAAGTGGGTCGAAACGTCATCAAAAATTAAATAATTACTATATTTTAATTTAGTATTTATTTGACCACACCCTCTGATTAACTCCTTCTCATAAATGTTAATATGTACGTTATTAATGAACACATTTGTTAATATTATATTTCTGAAATTTCTATGTATATTTTGTATGCCAAAATTGCTAATGAATTTCGGAAATAAAGATGTATTGTTGTTAATAATTGACAACAATATTCTCCACCTATTACTCAAGACTCAAAATATATCATAGAGCTTAAAAAATATATATATTTCTGATCTAAAATTGTATTACTCAAGAATTATTATAATTGTTAATTGTGGGTAAATGGTTGACTGTCGTGAATAATGAAGAGAAGAATAGTTGGGGTGATCAGTCAAATAAGAAGGCAAAAATAAATGCTAATATATGTTGTCTGTACATCTTGATAGACTTTACAACATCTCAATTTTCTATCCAACTATTCTATTCGCAATATCTCAATTTTACTATTTATTTCCATTTCTTATATAACTTCATATTTTTCTGTTTTATATTTTATTCTAAGATTCCCATTTCAATACTTATGTCACCTTTTTGATTATGTTTACTTCATCATTCCACACTTTGTACCGGTTATTATTATGTATCTCTTAGTTCTTACTATTGTCATTATTCTAACAACTGCATTTTACTTTAATTTTTATGTTTCTCATACCTTGTTATCTGGTTCTTTTCTTAGCTCTGATGATGGCTTAAAATTTAGGTCGAAACGTCGGCAAATGTCAAAATAAATATTAGCATTTCTTTTTGCCTTCTTATTTGACTGATCACCCCAACTATTCTTCTCTTCTTTATTATAATTGTTAATTTTTAAAAAAAAACAGATAAAAATTCTGATCAGATTTAATTTTAATTTTTTTAATTATCAATTTCAAATCCTGCATATGGTTATTAAATAACGAGGACTGATGCTGTAAAACATTTTATTATATTTTCATTAATATCAAGTTATCACTTTCAATATACACTTCTTCTACAAAGCTGGAAGTCTTCTGTCAGCTCCTCCAGGACACGTGCTGCTTTCTATTTTACAGCTTCAACAAACTGAAATAATCTTAATCCTTTTAATGCAGATTTCTGAATTGCAGGTTTTTACTTACGATCCTGAAACGAAGTGCCACTTTCCATGCGTTGGAAAAGCCCAATTTCAACGAGAGAAAAACAAATTTTTTTGTAGTGAAAACTTCTTTAGGTGCATTTTATACTTTTTTTTTTGTGGAGAGTGAATTAGATTGAGTCATCAGATCTCCGATGTGTAATGCTCAGAGAAAGTCAGCTGGAGTCGACTAATTGGAAGTGCTTTTGCATATGGGTTAAAATATCTCAAAAACTAAAAATCGGATCTGTATATTGTTAGTGAGGGAATTGTTCAGCATTTCACCCTCTCTGTAATGGGCTATTATTAAAAATTGTATCTTAACATCTAGCCGTGTTAGATAGAGGAAAAGGAAAAAAATAGTGTCAAAAACCAAATTATAACAAGTTTTATTGAAGATATGGATTAAAATATCCCAGAAACTAAAAATCAGACCTACATACTGTAAGCAAGGGAAATGTTAAGCATTTCATCCTCTCTGTAATGGGTTATTATTAAACATTGTATGTAATCTGACAATGTGTCAGAGAGGCGAAAAGAGGAAAATAGTGCCGAAAAGCGAATTATAATCAGTTTTATTTAGAATATGGATTAAAATATCTCAGAAACTGAAAATTGGACCTGCATACTGTAAGTAAGGGAAATTTTCAGCATTCCATTCTCTTTGTAATGATCCATTATTTATAATTTATATTCCATATTATTAATCGCCTTGTAACCTCTATCGTAGTACTGAAGATCGTACTATTAATAAATATTACTATATCCACGTTTTTACAGAAAGAGAAAGCGGCAAGCGTCTTGGAGTATCTGACAGAAGAAGACTCTTCCAGCAGTATTTCAGACAATGGAATATTTGCATTGTGTACATGGTAGAGATATAGGAGGGGTTTTTATTGAAGGATAATAAGTAAATAAGTAAGAAATCAAAATAAGGCCTATCTCAATCTCATAAAACAAAATTTCCATAAAGTTTACCAATAGAATGAACTATTTAACACTCACCCGGCCAAGTAATTTCCGGAGAAGATAAAATTACTTCATCAGAAATCGTGTAACCGCTATATGGGGTTATAATTCTTTTGCAATAATGGACAGAATTAAAATTTCTATAATACTCATCAAGTTCCAACAAAATTTCATCATTAAGACTGTCCAGGACCCTAGAATAGAATTTCGTAATAAATTATTCATTTTAGAATACTTTTTCTTTAGTAAATTAGCTTAATAAATTGATATGATTAATATTTGTATTAACAAAAAATTCACCTGTTCTCGATAAGTGTGTCCAAATTCAGAGATATAAATTGCATGACAGTTTTCTTCAGCTGAGGAGCGTTATATACATAGGAAACTTGTAGCATGGTAGCGGCGTTTTTCAAGTTGAGAGCATTAACAAGAGCAATTTCACAAATTTCTTTGAGATCATTGCAGATTAACTGGTCAGAAACAATAAGTAATCTAAAACAAAATAGAAAAATTATATTATTATAACATTAGAATAAGATAATTAGAGTGCTACCAGTGGGTAGTTTCTCAACAAGCGTGTTTCATGTAATAATATTTCTCTGTACAAATTTACTTGATGTATTGATACTAATACAGTTGTAAATATCATAATAAAAGTTTAAAAAAAAAGAATAAGATGAAGGATAATAATGATAAGGTACTAAGTAAAGAAAAAACAGAAAATATTTTGCTTAAAGGTCTTTGACTATGATATGATTTAAGATTGTTCATTTTATTGATAATAAAGAAATAATAATGGTACTTTTCGTCTAGGGGGCCGCTAATGACTGCTATCTGCCAATGTTTATAACCTGAACACTGATAACTCCCATAACGCAGTGATAAGCCTTCTTTTACTTCATATCTTCGTATTATTGTATTAAATTCGTATTATTGAAAGTGTAAACAGATACAAAAACAAATGTAATAACAAAAAAATACTTTTATTTGACGACACATATATTAGTGAAATAATAAAAAAACACTTTAAGAAGATATGTACATATAAAACATCAAAATGAAATAATAAAAAAACACATTTAAAAGAACATATTTACATACAAAAGAAAAAAATATAAAACAAAATCTGTTTTATAAAAAGATAAAACATTCATCTGTTTCTCGGCAAACTCCACCAAACATCCACTGCTGAGATAAAACTCTCCCCACATGATTTTTTCGTTTAGAAAAAAGACTCCACTTTGCCAGGTCCTCCGATTTTTTTTCTTGGCCTGTATAACATGTCATGGGCACAATCAATTTTAAAGCTGTTAAAAACGAAATCCTCGAGCCCTCCAACCATGTTCCTTTCCTTATTGAAAGTTTTGTGTCATAAGTCCTACGAAAGCATCTCCATTTGGCCTTCCTGGTTGACTTCATTCGATGACCTCGATCACACAATTTTACGTCGGCAAGTACCCCAACATTTTAAAAATATTGAAGTGCCTGTTCTTCTGAAGGCGGCAAATTCCATATTCTAAGAAGATCCATAATGTTACGAAAAGAAAAAAAAAGGGGCCACAAACTAAAAAAAATGTAAAATAAACACAAACGGGCCAAAAACTAAAAATAATGAAAACTAAACACAAACGGGCCAAAAGTAAAGAATTTAATAAGTGAACGTAATAAGGGAATAACTGAAAACTAAACAATGCAATAACTGAAAGGTTTGGCGGGATAAGAAGAGGGAGGTTATGTGATGTGACGTTAGATAAGATAGATAAGAAGTGAGGTTTCAGTCCGGCCTGCTAGACAAAAAGTACCATAATAATTTATAAATAAGTTTAATAAAAAAAAAAAGAAGTAAGTAAAGAAACATACTTTCCAATATTCTCAAAACTCTCAGTAGCAATCGACGACGGAGTTTCATTTGAATAAATAAAGTCCAATAAAACTTCCAAAGACTTCAGGGGACAATCCAGGTGTAACACTGCGGAACTAGAACTCTGAAAATAAAATAAATTATTTTTAAGAAAAATAATAATTACAGTTAAATATAATAAAAATATACTTATTATATAAAAGTTATTCATTTATTGTAATAAGTCTTATTTGTCTGTAAACCATTGTTCTTAAGAAAATTTCTCCCAAAATAAAGTTAATTTTTTCTAACTTCTTCTCCCCCTTATTTTCTGCTGTCATTACATACCTTTTCTACATTCTATGTTAATTCGATCTATGCATCTGCTATTTTGAGGTATTCATTGTTGTGTAGAGACTTCCTAGATGGATTGCTCCTATATGCATGTCCAGTCCATCTTAACCTCTGTGCTTCATATCATGAGATATTGATTGATCAGTTCTTCATTGATCCTTTTACTATACGAGTTGGTACTCTGATCACAGATCACTTCGGTTATCATGCAGAGGATTTTCTTCTCAAATCATTCAATACTTCTTTCAAGGATGCTGATTATAGAAATTATAGAAATAGAAAATAACTTTATTCTGGTACAAAGTCCCTTTAGAATAACAAAATAGAACATAATTAAAATACTACATCTGGTCAAAATAAAAAAGAGAAAGTAAAGAAAAAACAGAAAATATTTTGCTTATTAGTGGACAGTTATTATTAGTGCAAGATTAGTGGACAGATCTTGAAAATGTATATCAGAACTTGCTTCGTCATAGCATTCAATTACTTCCTAGAAAAACTATATCAAATGGGTATCTAAATATTTTATGATTCATCCTGACGTGCACCCTTCCATTTTCACTTGATGTTCTTATCTCTTTTTTTATGTGATTATTATCCATTATTATTTACATAAGCTAAAGGATTTTTTATTTATTTATTTATTTTTTTAGTTAAGTTTCATATTTTTTTTATTTTGACTTTTTGTTCCATATATGGAAGCTCGACTGAATTTTAAATTACAATAATTTATAACAATCAGTTTATTACTTGTAGAAAAACAAGTTGCAATTTAATTTGAAACAAGAAAAATAAAACACGTACCTCACTCCATCCCCCTAACAGCATGTGATGAAAGTACTCCAATCGAGCGGCTAGAATACATTTGTGGGCTTTTATTAATTTATCATCATCTGATTTTAATTGTACGTCATAGAGCTCCGGATGCGATTCTCTATTAAATTTCGGAGGGGAAAATGTTGGCATTTCTGATAATTTTTTTAAGCTAATACAACCATCCTCGTATCTAAAAAACAAAATAAACAAATGTGCGCATCATTCAAAATAGTATATTTATATAAAATATTGTAAATCATTAAATTAAAAGTTACAACTAGCATAATTTCAAGAATAATAGCAAAACATAAATAGTTTTATATCATCAAGTTTATTTATTATCAGCCTATTTTACACCAATTTTTTAAATTTTTTCAACTTAAAGACATCGCATCTAATTACGATGTTTCGGCTCGTTGAGCCATTTTCAAGTTAAAATTTTTTTTTACAATTTACAGTCATATTTAAAACATTACATATTTCAACATATAGAGATTCTTTTTACATTCCTAAATACCCATCGCGTACCTGTCCTTTTCACTTATACGAATTGCCTGCGTCCACTCATAATAAAATTTTTTGTTTTTGTCATGTCCACTTTTAATTATTATATAACATTATTATTACTCAAATATTTCTTATTAAATTATTCGATTAAGTTAAAATTACCTTATCATGTGTCACCGACATGTCATCAGTCTCATTTTTATTCAGTGACCGGTTATTCTTAAAGGAGTAGGGGAAGACTATTTATTTTAAAACATATACAATGATGTTTCCCAATATTATATGTGGACCTATTTTAAGTAAAATTAGCTAATTCATTTCAAATTTTTATTTTTTCAATTGAACTCGCGTAAAATGTATTCATATTATCCCCGTCTGTATGATTATTTACCGAGTTTTTTAAATTTTTAGTTATGTATATTTCTTCCTTTATTCTACTTTTATTCGAATTACTTTCATTATGCAGGATTCTGGCGTTTTTGAAATCAAATTCATTTGAAAATAAATAGTATGCACCGAAGAAGAAGTTGAGAAATATTGTGAATAGTTTTAAATCTTTGAAACTAATATATTTTTACAAATATTTACATTTTTTTTTTGTTTTAATGTAATATTACTGAACAACTTGTTAAAAATTTTAACCACTATAATTTATAATAGACTCATAAAATTGGTGAAAAGAAGCTGTTTCCAATTATCTAAATTGTATTTAGTAAAAGTAAGAGTTGTAGGGATAATGCTTCATCTTATCAGTACTTGTTAATTTAGTTTTAAGGCATAAAAAAAAAAAAGTAATAACCACTTTCATTGAATTCATTTACTTAGGGGTTCCTAATTCCTAATTGCAAATCAGTCCAGCAGACATAGGCAATGCGCCCTAACCTCACCACACCTCCAAAACGCGCTATTATTTATAGTTACTTATCACTTACATCCTCTCGACCATTCAATCATAAATTCTTTTATAAATTTATTTCAATACTTACTTGAATTGAGGAACTTTTTTATACAATGAAGTTAATTTGAATTTATTTGAGGCATCCAATAATAACTTCAAAGGATCGTTCGGCAAGTTAGAAAATCTGAAATTCATAAAACAGATAATTATGATTGTAATGAACCAAATTATGTGCATTCTCAAACACAAACATTTTAATAATAAAAGCTTACTTCAAACTGACAGGTCCGATCTTGAGTAAATCGGAATGGCCAGTATATAAAAACGTCATGATTTCCTTAAATATCACAGGTGAAACGCCGTCGATAATTATATATCCATTATCTACAGGAGAATTTAAAAGCGTTGATTTGGCACATGCAATAATATATTTATGAGCAGGAAATAATGTATTTTGGACCTGAAATAAATTAAATAAATAATAATAATAATTAAATGGTAGTCCTGAAAAAAAAAAAAAATATGGTTTAAATTTATACTCAAGGATAGAGATACTCTATAACTTAGAATAATGGAATCCTATCCCTGGACAAGACAGATATCTTTTAGTGGAAAAATAGCAAATTAGTTCTGCAAAGCAACAGGAAATTGAGAAAGACTGCTCTTGGAGGAAAACCATTAAAACAAAGATCTAGAAGAGAAAAAAGGTTTCCTCTGCCATACCAATAATGGACACTGTTATTTTTCTCATATTTATCAGCTGTTCCACCAACTGCTAAAGTGCCGGAAAGGAAAACATGCCTTTAATAGAAAGTTATATAAATTTGGATAAAGAGGAGGTCTTTAAATGGAGCATAATCTTTTATTATTTCTGAGCGATAAAATTGATTATCAGTTAATGTGTTGTTTTATACCTTGAATAGTAATTTCAGCATTAACAGTTTTTTTGTAACTTCCTATTATAAAAATTATTATTACATATAAAAAAAACTCTTTCAAAACAACCCATGGAGGGTCTTGGGTTCAGTACTATGTAGGAAAGTAATGTTTCTTGGTCAATGGTTATGCAGGGAGGTGATTTGACCAAGATCACGCTCAACTGCCAGATTTTTCTACCTTAACTAATTATTTAATTAGGGTACCCACTTCTTAGAGGCTAGGTGTGCCTCAGGATGGACTCAAGAACGTTGAATAGAATAAATAATTTATCTGTCACCAATCAGATTCAAACCTGGGACCTTGAGCATTGGAGGTCAGCATCTTACCACTGAGCTACCCCTATCCCCTCCAACAAATACCAGTCTAATTTAAAAAAAAAAAATCACATGCGTCACATAATCTTATATTAAATTTTAAAAATATAGAACTCGTTGATACAATACGTAGAATATTTAGACATTTTAATTTTGTATTCACATCTTAGAATTAATTTATTCACAGATAACATATATCTTTAAAAGTTGTTAATAATTTTTTTGTTTTTTTTCTTGTCTTTCTTCAGCCCTGATGAAGGCATGAAACTTAGGCCAAAACAAACTAGTTTTATTTAAATTATTATAGTAGTAAATTTATTAAAGATGACAAGTGAAAATAGCAACATAAAAGTCAGTTTTAAAGAGATAAATGTTTTGCACCAACCTTAAAAATAATATCATGCAAAGTGTCCTCTTCCGATGCTTCTTCTAATAGCTGAAGATACTGGTTGACGATATGATCTTCACTCTGTACTGGAATTTCAGTCAGGGCATTATGGGGATTAACCTACAAATCAAATTAATTCCTTGATAATTTTTCTAAACTATAAACAATAAATAATAAAGAGATATAAAAATAACCTGGATAACAGCAAAATTTTTTCCTTTGGGATCACTAGTAATGGCCACAGCACGATGAACATTAGGAATACGATTTGTTTGTATGTGGTAACATTCAGATTTGGCAAGAAATTTATGAAATCCACTTTTCATTTCTTTGGAAGAATTCACTAGAATTAAAATAAATAAAAGTGAAAAAAAAAATACAGTATATGGATCAATAAATTATATTTTTATTATAATGGTGAATGCTAGGAGAGAAAAAGAATTCTTTTGATTGTGTTTTTCAATGAATTTGTCTTAAGGACTAAGAAGTGGAAACTAATAAATTAAAAACAAGAATACTGATGGATATTTGAAGAGAGACCAAAATGGCTGAGAAGAGTGCTAAGACATCTTAGCAACCTCAAGTCTAGCAATGCCGGTTCGAATCTGGCTTGGGCGAGTTAAAATTGATTTTGTGATGAATCCATAGAATAAACCGCCATTATCCTACTCACTCTAATTATAATAGGTTAGTTATACCTTTGGAATAAATGTTGGTCAAACAATATGAGCAAATATATTAGAAATTAGTTAGTATAAAGGGATTACATAAAAAAATATTAAGTATACAGGCACTACAATATTTTACATGTTTTGTTTTAAAATGTATTTATTTTATTGAAGAGAAGTTGGTTGAAAATTTCAGTCAATGAAAGTAAATAGTAAATTTCTTATTTTTTTTATTATTATAAATTTACAATTGTATAAATGATAAATACAACAAGTAAATATGAAACAAGTAACATGGCATGTACAACATGAAGGGAAACTACCCATTGGAAGCACTCCAATTATATTTCTATATTAGAAGGTGCCGAGGCCATTTTCTTTTCAGACTCCTCAGAGGGTTATCAGGAATGGAAGAGGAAGCAAGGTCTGAAACAAGAGGATTCGGATGGTTCAGAAGTTTATTATGGAAGGATAGGTATCTGGATTGAGCTAAATCGGAAACATATGGTACATTAAGGTCGTTATGGATGATTTTATTTATGACAAAGTAGGGAGCATTGACGATTTTACGAAGCGATATATACTTAATAGGTATGTTTTCACTAGTGAAATAGATAGAACAAAAAATCCATTGGAAAAATTTAAACTTTTTGTTTGTTTGGAGTTAACGAGACCAATATTTTCCCTCAGTCAGAACTAAACTAATTTAAGCTGGAATATAAAAATATGATTGAAGTTCACAATAGTTTGATGATTAAGTAGGAAATCGAGACCACGACGAGCAAGTTGAACTTCAACAGAAACAAACAAAATAACAAATAAGACTTTTTTTACTAACCAACAAAAGTAAAAGTTAATTATAATTACATGAAAACTAAGTGAAGGCAGTAAATGTCATTCCAGTAACGTTTGGAATCAACCAAGCAATACATTATAAATTAATTCTTTGAATAAAATGTTATAACCTCATAAAAATATTGTATTAACCTAACCCATATTCCTGGTGATCAATGCCTTCCACATTTCACAGCCATTATATTGTAAATAGTTATTTATAATAACTTTAATTGTTAAAGGGAATTAAATGAAATTGGTATTAGACCATTTCTGAACTATTCTCCTGATTTCCTCCAAATTTAAGTCAAATTGAACAAGCCATTTTCAAACTATGGGCTTTTCAAATAATACGTTTACTGATCAGAAAGTGAAAGTCTTTTTTTTTTAGAGTAGTGGATAGAATTTGATAAAATTGATATTTAGTTTATGATCTGTTAAGTAATCCCTCCAAATTTCAGCTAAATTGAACTAGTGGTTTTAGTTTAGAGATATAGATGCATCAAGGAAAACGTGTTTGCCCATATATAAGAGAAAGTAGATGACGGAATTCAATAAAATTGATATAGAATCATTATTTTACCAAAACCCACTTTTCTTTAAACTTTGAGCCCAATCCAATGAGCCGTTTCTGAAATATTGGCATATCTATGAAAATACATTTAGGCGTGCGCAAGCGGAAGTGCTGGATAGAATTTAGTAAAATTAATTTGGGACCACCTAGACAGAACTCACACAATCCCTGAAAATTTGATGAAAAGTAGTAGGTGATATGCCTTTCACATCAATTTGACTACAGACAGACAGACGCCAAACCAAATTTGATCCTTGATGTCTGAAACATAAAACGCGAGTGGAAATTTTCGATGCTGAACACAAAATCTTTTTTAATCTCACACGAATACCTTTGGTAGTGAGGAAGCCAAATGAAAAAAAAAAAAAAAATTAAAATTACCAGTCTGTTTCTCAATCTGCCCAATTGTTCCAGAAAAAGCTTCCCCATCTCGTGAGGTAAATAAAATCTGCCTTTCATTGAGGAAAATAGAACTGATATTAATAAGCCTACTCAATCCAAACATACACCTGAAAACAATTAAAATAAATAATCGTTTAAAACAAAAAAAAAAATGAAAAGTAATAAATTATAACTTCTACACAAGTTCATAGTTCAGATACCTTGTCAACTGTGGTAATGATTCCTGCCAGATCAAGATAGAACCGCCTAACGTTAACAATACCACTTTCAGAGAACCACCATTTTCCGTCACTAAGTCGCTACTCAAAGAGCCACCAATCGTTCCTATTTGTTTTACATCTAATTGCCTGTATATAAGAAAGAAACAAAACAATATTATTTAAATTTATCATGAGATAAATAAGACAAAAACTAATAGAAATAAATCAGTGTGGCTAACACACAGTTAAAGTAAAATTCTCTGACGTTTCCCTATTTAAGCATAGTTTTCTCTGACCAATATGTATTAATTCACAAATATTAAAAATGTATAATTTATAACTAAATTTATTTATTATTAGAAAATTGACTACAAAATGATTTGAGTGAATTTTTTTTTTTTAAATAACAATGTTTTAGAGCTAGATTAGGTTAGATAAAGCTAGATGATAGACGAGTTAGATAAAGCTTTATTAGGATTTTTATTTTAGAAAATTAAACTTTCAGTATGAGAGAGAAGGAGTTAGTCGAGGGTGCAGTCAAATAAATAAAAAATTAAAATATATTAATTATTTTAATTTTTGCCGACGTTTCGACCCACTTTGCAGGTCATCTTCAGGGCGTAGGATGTGGCACTGGGGGAGGCAGTTGAAACACTGGCAGTGAATAAAATCTGCTTTGCAGTGCAGTTGAAACACTGCCAGTGTTTCAACTGCCTCCCGCAATGCCACATCCTACGCCCTGAAGACGACCTGCAAAGTGGGTCGAAACGTTGGCAAAAATCAAAATAATTAATATATTTTAATTTTTTATTTATTTGACCGCACCCTCGACTAACTCCTTCTCATATTATATCAACGGTCAACCATCTCTACATCATTATAAACTTTCAGTAATTTATTTTTAACGATTTTATCTTATTTTCATAAACTGAGAAGAGATAAAAGTTGACATGTGACATATAAAACTCTGATTGTCTCTCTTATAAAATAAAGTGAGCTACGGAAGATTCTAATATTAATATATTTTTTCTCATAAATAATTTAGTTTTATTATTACTATAAGTAGATTATCCAAATGACACAAATTGTCATTTCTGGCTAGTAATTGCTCTTAAAAGGAGCACTACGGATTGAACGAATGAGTGCTTACCAGCCATATCTTGACCCAGATGTATATATTACAAATAGTAAATAGTATTGGTACGTTTATCTTTTCAAAAAGCACTGTATAAGTCCATTTTACTTGAATTTTATTCATTACCCTCGTTTTATTTTAATATAACGACCAGTCAAAGATTTAAAGAATTAAAACTCATTAAATTTTGTGGAAAGACACTTACTTTGATGCTATTTTCTTGAACATGAATTGATAAAGTATGTAGACGCTACCGGAGCTAACAGAGAAGGCAACACATGTACTACTTGATGAAACTGATGTAATTGTACTCTGGGATTTCAGATTTATAGGAACCTAAAAATATTTTTAAAAATAAATTAATTATGCATTGATTTTCCTTGACGATTAAAATCATTCAGTATATGATAAAATTGTACTGCACAGTACAGACCCCTGTTTATCAAATTATTAACACTCGTCTAAAACTTAGTGAATGGTCTTATTTTATTGTAACAGAAAACTTTTTAATTTACGAAAATTCTCGAAAATGGGGCGTTTCCAATCTAAAGATTAGTATAATTTGCCAATTTAATGATGTACTGAAAACTCATGGACACCCATTTGCTTTCCACTTGAATCGTAAAATAATTTGATCATAAAATCAAGAAAAAAAAGTGACTCAGCAAAACCATTGGGTTGTTTGGCAAGATTTTCACTCCCAACATATCAGAATAAAGAAGTTATATAGGCTAAACGACTCAATAATATTGTAATGATCAAATTATCTCACAATTCAAGTGGAAAGCAAATGGAATTCATGAGTTTTTAGTAAATTGCTTAATTTAATCAGAAAATGTTAAGGATGGCTACCAGACAGTTAAAGTAAAATTCCTTACATTTTCCCATTTAGGAATTGTTTTCCCTGACCAATATGTCTAGGACACGGAATATTAAAAATATACGATTTATAATTACATTTATTTATTACACATGAAAGAAAATTGTCTTCAAAACGATTTGAGTAAAAAAAACTAATTGATCTTTTAAATAACCAATATAATGTTTTAGAGGAAGCATTTTTTAAGCTAGTTTAGGATTTTTTATTTTAGAAGTTTATTTTTATCGTTTTTATTTTATTTTCATAAACTGAGAGGAGATAAAAGTTGATACTTGACATATAAAGCTCTGATTTTCTCTTTTATATAATAAAGTTAGCTACAGGGGATTCTAACATCAAAGTAGTTTCTCATAAGTAATTTAATTTCCTTATTACTATAAGAAGCATAAAATTTATCCAAATGTCACCAACTGTGACATTTCTGGTAAATAAATACTCTTTTAAGGAGCACTATATGTTGAACGAATGAGTGCTTGCCAGCCAGATCTTGACCCAGATGTATATATAGTATTGGTATGTTTATCTTTTCAAAAAAACAGTTTTAAGTCCAATTTTCTTACATTTTATTCATTATCCTTGTTTGATTTCAATATAACGACCAGTGCCATTATTGACAGTCAAAAGTGGATAAATATAACAACGAAGTTTACCCCTTCAAGGTGTAAATGATATCCAATGTATATTTATATCCATTTTGAAAAGAAATATTCAAGTACTACAAAAATTACTCTACTTTTCCCATTTTTCCAGGTTGATCCTCACCCTGACATTCCATTTCTGAGAATTTTCGTAAAATATAAAAGTTGTAGGTCACGATAAAATGAAACCACGCATGAAGTTTTAGATGATTTTAAGTAAATTGATAAAAAGGAATCTGTAACGTGGACAATTAATAAAAATTCTATTTCTACCTTTATCTATTTATTTTCAATTGCCTTAATTTGGATTGAATTGAAGCTCTTTTATATTGAATCTGAAGATATTCTAAACAACTCAAAATATCCAACCATTTAAATCTATTTAGTAGCTATGAAATTAATATAATATGAATACCTTGTTTTAAAATTTAGTGACCAAAATTATGAGAGTAAAAATAGAATTTACGAGATAATTAAGGATTCTGATAATTTAATTTGAGTAAATTATATTACCTGAGTAGGAAATTTAACAAAGGGAACATTATTTCGATCAGCTGACAAACCGAGTTGACCACCATTCAGTCCGCAGACGTAGATAGATGTCTTGGTATAAAAAACACTATGATATTTTCCAGCACAAATGCCTTCCAAATCTTCTGTACACTTAATGGATACTGGTTTAAGCGTAGCCGTTTCCTTTAAATATGGAGAAAGCCCAAGTTGATAATGCTCATTCTGGCCACATGCTAATATCTTATGACCGGATGCTAAGACCTTAAAAAAATAAAAATTATCAATAGTCTTATAACAGAAAAGATATTAATGATCTTTAAAGAATGAATCATAATTTTTATAAAAGAATGATTAATAGCCTACTAAACAGAATATATCTGTATTATGAAAATATAAAAGGCGACCACTAAGCTAGATTCAGAAGAAAAAGTCCATTAGATTGGCTCTTCATCCCGAAACAAGTACTCAAAAAACAATGGGAAGTAGCTCAGGATGCGCAAGCCTTATTTGTCAGTAGCAAAGCAGTCTATGATTCTGTGGACAGAAACTGTTGAAGAATCATGGCTGAACTAGAAATCCCCACCAGGAAGTAGGAGAGTCTGATGAAGCTGTGTAGTACAAATGACCCTAAATGTTGAGTCCAACAAGGAGAAGTACCTGAATCCTTCAACGTTCGAAATGGCTTGAGGAAGGGAGATGGACTCGTGTTGATGTCGTTCAACTTACATCAGAATGAATCATAAAATATCTGGATATGCAGATGATATAGCTGTCCTTGGAAGAAAACAAGAGGACATTGAGAGACTCGCTAAGACTCTGATAGGAGAGGCAGAGCAAATCAACCAATAATTAAATGAAGATAAAACAAAATATATGATAAGCTGAAAATTTCACACTAATTATAAGATCCGCATAGAAGGAAAATCGTTAGCTTAAATTCAAATTCTTTCGGCTCCACAATAACTTCAATGAATTAACAACAGGTCAGGAATGGAGTAGCATGTAACAAGAGCAAATCAACCAATAATTAAATGAAGATAAAACAAAATATATGATAATAAGCTGAAAATTTCACACTAATTATAAGATCCGCATAGAAGGAAAATCGTTAGCTTAAATTCAAATTCTTTCGGCTCCACAATAACTTCAATGAATTAACAACAGGTCAGGAATGGAGTAGCATGTAACAAGAGCTAACATAACTTTCTTTTTCCTTCCAAAAGTATTGAAGCACCAAAATATCAAACAAAGGTTGTACAATGCTACGATAAAGCTTGTTCTGATATATGTCAGCGAGACCTGGATATTAACCAGCACCCTAGAAAGAAGTTTTGAAAGATTTGAGAGAGAAATCCCCTTAGCACGACAACCGGAGTGATCTGGGATCAGAGTAATAAAATATGGAAGGGAAGGGTCAATAAAGACCCGTTACAGAAACCAGTTAACCAATATCTCATGATATGAAGGCAAGAAGATTAAGATGGGCGGGGCATATGTAGCTCAGAGCATTCCACCAGGAAATATCTACACAATGAATGCCTTCTTAATAGTAGGCAAGAGAACACGTGGAATGACAAAAAATGGATGATTAGATCAAAGTAATAAATATGCAATAGAGCTGTCTGCAAATAACTGGAAAGAATTATCCCAATTTAGAGATAGAGAAGGCGGCAGAAGATCAACAAGATCTTAATGCCAACAGGAAAATAAAAAATAATTATATTGATTATAATCTAAAATAAAATTTTATTTACAACACAAGATACAAATTAGTATTTTTTAGTAAAAAATAAAAAAAAATTATTCATGGACCAGTAAGTTAAGCCCCCCCCTCACTCCTCCACTATTCTCCTGTTCTCCCACAGGCTTACATTCACTAACTGGTCAAGGTATAAGTTAAAAAAATGTAACTTACAGAAGAGGACGAAAGAAGAACCAAAGTGTGGTTGAGGGCGATCGCAACCATCTTGCACTCGTTGTTAGAAAGCAATAACGAAGGAGTCAGGCAATGATTTTTTGAAGAAATGCCAAGTCTCCCTCCCTGCCCGTTACCACAAACCCAAACCCTGTTACATTTACTGACAAATATACTATGAAATTCGTCCATGCAGACCTAGAAAAAAAAATTCATTTTATTCACATGAAAATTAAAAATAAATTAATTATATTTTGAGGGAAGAACCTCATACAAATAGCCTATCTTTGAATTATAAACATTATTATCCTTATGGTAATACAATATTAGTTAATTTTATTGTACCATTATTATAAATAAAATGTTAAATTTATACAGTACAGTACAATTTTAATAACTTTTTTTCTTCCTGAACGGTACACCATTTTATCTATCCAAACCAAATATCAATAAACCTTTTTTCTTATTCCAAAATGGGCCTGGAATTTTAATTTATTCTTATAATAAATGATTTTCTATTAAAATAATCAAAGATTTTGGGAAATATGTGCAACGGATCAAGAATTTCTTAATGGATTTTTTTTTTTTTTTTAAATATTGGTTTTGATATTTTTAATAGAAAATACAATTTTTCGAGTTTTCTGAAAAAATTGTCTATGATGACTAGGGTTCAATTTGGAAACAAACCAATCATTTAATACATATATGAGGGTTTTTTTTTTTTTTTTTTTTATGAACTATTTCAAAATTAACAAAAAACTAAGTCACAATTGAAGTGAGAACATCAACAAGCAATAATATGAACTATAAATTATAAATAATAGCTCATTATCAAGAGGATGATATGCTGAACAATTCTGTCGCTTACGATATGCATGTCCGATTTTTAGTTTCTAAAATATTTTGGCTTTCGACACTATTTTTTTATCTTTCAGTCCCTCTAACAAATACGGCTTCGCGTTAAGATACAATTTTGAATAATAGCTCATAAACAAAGAAAATGAAATGATAAAATTTCCCTCTCCAACAATATCCAGTTCTGATTTTTAGTTTTTGAGATATTTTAATCCTTATGCAAAAAGTAATAAGTTAATTCCAGCTGACTTTTGTTAGAGCGTTACACATCAAAAATTTGACGGCTCAATCTAACTCACTTTCCACAAAAAAGTGTAAAACACGCTTAATGAAGTTTTCACTACCAAAACGGACTTAGTGCTTAAGGCCGATGATATGTATTTATAACTATTTTAAATATATAAGGTATTGGAGACAATTGTAAGATTTCTTATATTTACATTTGAATTATCTATTATTAGCGTATTGGTTGAAATTATACTTTATATAATTATTATATTGAAATTATTCTTTATATAATTATACTTATATGAATATGATCCAGTAAGATAATCTAATTATAATCAAATGGGTGATTTGGTCAAATTCATAGCAGTATTAGAAATGTTTACACCATAGTCAAAAGAAAATATAAAGCGATAGCTTACTTGTGTTATTGAAACATTACGCCTTTTAAAATTATCCAATAGGTCTGGCAGTTTTCTCGCATTGTTAGTTCCGATTCCATGGGTGTAGTTATCATTCGAACCCCAGATATAAACCTGGCACGGTACATCACGGACAATGTCCACACTAAGTGGCCTGTCTTTTGTAACTATACCAACTGCATTCAATCCTTCTCTATCCAGTGAAGTCAAATCTGCTCCAATCTAAAATAAACAATAGAATAAACTATAGCCAATAAGATAAAGAAAAATTAATTTATTTGCAGATATTCTAACAATAACTAGCTAAAACAAAGGTGGGCCTTGGCTTCCTGAATTATATCATGCCGATCATCTCTTGCTCGCTCTTTCCTTCCAATTTCTCACATCCAGTGTTTTAAGGTCGCTCTCAACATCTTGCAGCCATTTTTTCCTTGGTCTTCCTTTTCTTGTTGTGGCATACGTTGTAGAGAAGAATGCTCTATAAGGCATCCTGCTGTTATCCATTCTTATCACGTGGGCTAACCATTCCATGATCCTAGTTTTAACGAAATGAACTATGTTGCCGCTATTATATAGTTCATATAGCTCTGAATTTTTTCTCCAGCTCCATAAATTCTTCTCAATATTTTTCTTTCAAAAATATTCAGCATACTAACTGTGCTTGTACAAAGGATCCGTGTCTCCGCCGCATAAGTCACAATAGGTCTTACTAAAGTCTTATATAATCTTATCTTTGTTTCTCATGACAGAAGCGATGATCGAACAAATTTTAGGTTGTCATAGTACGCCCGGTTTCCAGCCATGATCCTCTTGTACACCTCAGCAGCAATTTTATTTTCAGAATTCACTTCCGCCCCAGGTAAGTGAATTTTTTGACACACTCGAATGTGATACCACATATTTCAATGCTCCAAGAACCAGCCTCATTGTCGGCCCCGACATACATGTATTTTGTCTTATTTTGATTAATTTCCAGCCCAACATTTTCGCTTTTGGCTTTCAATATTGGGTACTTGTATAATAGCGGGTAGCGTCAAAACCTCCCATGTTATCTATTCTGAATCCCATTATTGTTATTCTGAAAGGACTTAGTCCCAGAATAAAGTTTTTTTTTTCTATCTATCTATCTAATCTTATTTCACATAACCTCCCTTATCTCCTCTAACTTAAGTTATTCCCTTGTTTATTTTTTGTTCCTTGTGTAAGCTGTGAGTTAGTGTTATTTAGTTATGGATGTTGTCACATTGTGGGAATTGCCGTCTTCAGAAGAGGCTATCGAACATTTTCAAGATGCCAGGATATTTGCAAAAGTGAAATATTGTGATTTACGGCTTTAAAATTCATATGTGTACATATGCTGTTTAAGTGTTTTTTTATTATTTCATTTATTTTTATATATGTTGCAATGTTTCAACGACTTTCTATATTAGATATTGTTTTTTCTCAAATTCTCCACTTTCTCACTGGAAGAAAACCTCACAGGGTTATGAGGGTATTGATGGTCGAAGGTGAGATTTTGGAGCTGGTGAACAGTTTCAAATACTTAGGTGCCCAACTCAATGAAAATGGATATATTGACGCAGAGGTAAGGCAGAGAATAGGAGCTGCTGGAAGAATGTTCGGCTCGGTTAGGAAAGGCTTTCTGAACCGGAAAGAGGTGACCAAGGAAACGAAGATGACGGTCTACAGATCAGTAATTCCTACCTAAACTGACCATTACAGAAGAACATAAGTTGAGATGGTTTGGGCACCTTCTCCATATGGACCGGAACAGAGTCGCACGGAAGACATATGAGACTCGCGTGCAAGGTATGAGACCAAGAGGAAGACCCAGAATCTCCTGGGAAGAAAGCGCGCGAGATTCATTCCAGAAGCAAGGTTTAGAATGGAACAGGAGAAGAGAGCTAGTACTGGAAAGGTCCACCTGGTCCAAGCTCTACAAGAAGCAACCTCACACTGCATAGGTGGTAAAGAGGAATATGACTATGATGATGATGACATATGCTGTTTAAGTTTTTTTTTATTATGTAATTTATTTTTGTCTATTTTTATTATTTCATTTATTTTTATATATGTTGCAATGTTTCAACGACTTTCTATATTAGATATTGTTTTTTCTCAAATTCTCCACTTTCCAACGATATATCATATGTGTAGCTTCTGACTAGTATTTCCACGGCTAAGGATTTATTGCTTACAACAAATAGTGAAATAAGTTACCTGCATCAATCTCACAGCTGCTCTTATGTGGCCATGAAATAAGGCTCTCTGCAGCGGAGTATAACCAGACTCCCAATCTCTGCTATTAATGTTGGCTCCGGCAACAAAAATCAGCCATTCGCATAGCTCACTCCGCCCGCATGATGCTGCCATGTGAAGTGGGGTTCGTCCCATGGAATCTTGTAACTGAAAAAATTAAATAAAGGCTTATAATTACGTAATATTCCACACACAAACTACAGACAAATAAAACAAAACAACAAGAAATATCAACAAATATCCATAAAAGGTTTGCCTAAGTAAATGTTGGTAGAACCATTAAGGCAAAAAATTAGAATTCAGCCAAATTATATTATTAGCCTCATTGATGGGTGACAAATTCTACTTTTCATTTCTTATTTTACCTTATTTCATTAGTCGCTAACTTTGTTCCGTTATTATTTATTTCATAGTTCTCTGTTATTGTTATTATTTTATTCATAAGTTCCTAACTGTATTACCGTTATATTATAAATCCTAACTTTGCTTCCGCTACTTTCTATTTTTAACTTTGTTATCATTATTTTATTGTTCCTTTAAGTTTATTTTACCTACATTTTTTTAGACTCTACCTTTCACCTACATGTTATGATCTTCTTTTCTATTGTTAGTTTCTCATACCCATTGTTATCTGTTTTTTTCTGAGCCCTGATGAAGGCCTAAACTTTAGGCAAAAAATAAAAATAAATATTATTTATTTTATGTGAATAAAAGGTTAATATGTGCGGTGACGAATGGTAAGCGTCCGAGGGGTAGACCGAAGCGAAGGTGGCAAGATTGCATTAAAGCCGATCTGAAGGGACTGGGTTTGGACGGCGAACGGTGGAGGGAGGTGTGTAATAAGCGATTGGTGGTGTCGGCATCGAGTCTTCGGGTTCGCTAAGCCTTTTATTATTATTATTATTTTATGTGAAAGAGTTGATCTGGGGGTGCGGTCAAATTAATATTAAATTAAACAAGTAGAATTATTTAATTTTTCCCAACGTTTCGACCCACTTTGCAGGTCTTCATCAGGGCTACAAAAGATACAAAACATGGTGAAAATAAAATAAATGAATATAAGAAGATATAAAATAAGAATAAGTTGTCTGATACAGAAATAAAAAGATGATATCAGAGATATAGTGGGTGACAACGTAGTATTGACCACACCCCCCGATCAACTCCTTCTCATATCATATCAACGATCAACCATCTCTACATCATTATTTATTTTTCATTTTTTTTTTTGACTGAGCACCCCAACCAACCTTCTCTTCAATATATTATGAGCCCCATAATGAAAACGATTAACACCGCATACGGACCGTTTATTTTTAAAGTGGTGTTAAGTCCATTTTATCTTGTTTCCAGACAATTACAAGGTAGCATATCTGCTAATTAAAAAATTACGCTTAATTGTATCAAGTCTGGCAATGTTTCTACCAATTTATCGATATTTAATTTGATTATATACATTTCTTTAAGTGAATTTAACTAAAATAATGTATATTTACGGGCTGCAAATGGACTTACACCACTTTCAAAATTAGTCAATTGTAAAAATCGTCAAATTTCAATTTCGAAAAATCAAATATCACTTAAAATATATTTCCTATTGATCCAATTTCGCTTACAAATAATAACAAGATAAAAAATAGAAGTAGTATTTTTAATTTTAAATGTTAGTTATATTGTTAAAATAAAAATAATGTATTGATAGTATTTATTTATGCTCTTCATGTGACGGTGTTTTGAAATATTCGTGATGCTCAGGAGATATATAGGATAATGACTGCTCCATATCCATATATAATGGATTTCTAGAATGACAACCAGTTCATGAGTAAAACTCTATTTAGATCAATATTTTCGACTTATTTCCAAACTGGTCCTTTCAACTAAAATCTGGGCCTAGCTTAGGTTACATCACAGCTTTTGAATGCTGGCTCAAAATAAATAAACAAACCCCCAATGGATTCTTTTTGGTTGAGTTTAGAGACGGTTAGGTCAATTCTGTTTTCTTATGGACTCACTTCGGCCAATCTCAGAATTTCATTAATAGTGTGATCATGTGATCTTGAGCCTGCCATAAAAGTAGAACAACTCTTGTAAATTAGTATCGAGAAAAATAACAAAAATTTTAAGGACCAGTATCAAGTGTGATCAATAATTCAATACTTTTAAAAAATAAAGTTTTATGTTTAAACAATTTGAAAATCCAGTATTGTTTACCATGGAACATACCATGTAAATAAGCCATCTATCTCAACATTTACTTACCGTTTTAAGACTGAATAGATTAAAGGAAAATACAGACCTGTGCGTTCTTAGTTCTTCCTTTGGAAAGTTTGAACTTTCACTTTTGTCTTATTATTAGGAAGAGAATTAACTAATCCATAAGGTTTGTAAAAATTTTTGCCTAAGTAAATATTGGTAGAACCATTAGAACAAACAATTAGAATCCAGCCAAATTGTATTATTAGCCTCATAATTGTGGATTAATGGGCGACAAATTCCACTTTTCATTTAATTCATAGTTCTCCGTTGCTGTTATTATTTTAATAATAAGTTCCTAACTTTGTTACCGTTATATTATATTATATCCTAACTTTGCTTCACGCTACTTTCTATTCTTAACTTTGTTATCGTTATTTTATAGTTCCTTTAAGGTTATTCCGTAGTGATATTTTTTAAATTTTAAAATACATTTACCTTTCCAATGTCCTGACAGGTATAGTTCTCTTGAAAGTATGCAGCCAGCTGCTTATCGCTGACTCCTCGCTTGGTAATCGCTCCATTGATATAGTCAATTTCATGTACATTACAATACTTTTTCTGTTTTCCATGGTGTAACTGCTTTGACATACTATTCCAGACAACTTTTATGAAAAATATTATTCTCAAAAATGAGCAAACCGAATCCTTCCATAAAAAAAGTTAGTTAAAGAATGTCTGAAATATTTTTCTTTTAATAATGACACGGTAAATAATGATTAAACGTAGCAGAGTAGCAGAGTAGTAGAAATTAAATTTATTGGAACTAAAAAATGAAAAAGATGCAGTTTTTTGCAAATTTGGTTTCACTGACGCTCTAGTGTCAACTTCAAACAACAAGGTTGCAAAGTACTAACTAACAGCTGATTGTCTGTGGCGGGAAATTTGAATAGTTTCTCAAGGCTACAATCGAATTGAATTGTATTTAACTTAACAAAAGTATTTGTTTTAATCAACCTTATTAAATTCTTATGAATTTTTATTAAAAGTTAAGCTCATAAATATATTTTTAATATTATATTTCATTATATAGCCGATTATCAAATCTACAAATATCACATTCAATTGAAATGTAAACAAAGTTTTTACGTTTTTCCTTCTGATAATAAAATAAATAAAATTAACAATCTTCATTAAGTCTTTACAATTTTTTATTTTGATGTCACTTCATATCAAATTAAGTTTAATAAAAGGTGTAAACAAATTTTGAATTTTTTTTCTAATTAACCTTGAAATTTTCACAGTATTGCTCAATTATAATTACATGGGCGTTATCAACGTTGTTTCCAAAATTGGTGAAATAGATAAGAAAAACAAAGTTTGTACTCATTCTGTACGTAATAAGTTTTTTTTTATTTTATTTTTTTAGTTTTTTTTATTTATTTTTTTTATCTATTTATTGAATAATAATACAATCAGCCACTGGAGGGCTATAAGTATTAGGGCTAAGAGTTCTCATTCAAACAATATATACAAATAATAGAGAAATAAATATAAATATAAAAAGTAAATAAATAATACTGATGAAGAAAGAAAATAAAAAGTAAACAATAACATAAAAAGAAACTTATAAACACAACCATACCTATATACAATATATACATTCGCCCAGGAATCTCCGAGCCAGGCTTTTTCCCCCACATGTGGAAGGCAAAGCAAGACTCCAGGAGATCCCAGTGCCACTTTTCCAGCCGCATCACTAGGATAGGTTTAGTCACGGGCGGATCTACAGGGGGGGGAGGGGACAAGAATTGAGGTGGAGGGCTTTGGGTTTGAAGCCTCCCCCCCCTCCCAAATGGTATAATATAACTACGTTTTATGGAAAAAAATATAAAAAAATTATCTCTTAAAATATTATTGTTCGTATAATTAAATTAAAAAAAATTAGGAATCACTTAAACACCATTTCATGTAGGTAGTTAGTTTCTTTCTTTTTTTCCAAAATAATCATCGTTATTTTTATGAAAAAAAAAGCTTTCGGTCTGTAGCCCTCCCCCCCCCAAAAAAAAATTAAATTCTGAATCCGCTAGTGGGTTTACTTACATAAGAATGTATTAGAGAGGGTCAGAGATGCCCAGAAAGTTGTTTCACAAAACTTTTGAGGGAGCCACATTTTTATGGTGTTTTTAATTTTTGAGAGGGGACATTTTAATGGGTTTATGAATTTTGGATCGATATTTTTGTTGACTTCAATATACATGAACTTTTAAAGCAGGAAACAAGGAGAAAACGTGGAACATTTATAGCAAGTGTAACTGTGTATAATGTACAACTTTTCCAATTCTACTTTCGGTTGCGCTGTTTTTTAAAAAAAGAGAGCAATTAAAATCTTGGGAGGGGTATGCGGCACCGATCATGGGATGTTCAATCCAAATCACTCATAGACAATAATGGATCCAGGATTTAATTTTTGAGGGGGGGGACTTCAGCCCGAAAGATTTTTTTTTTGTATGTATATATTAGGATAATTACTTCGGAAGAAAGAAAGAAACTAACTACCTATATGAAATGGTGTTTAAGTGATTCTTTAAGTCCTATTAAATGTAATTATACGAACAGTAATACTTTTAGAGATAATTTTTTTTTTAAACATAGTTATATTTTACCATTTTTTGGGGTGGAGAAAGGAGGCTTCAGCCCGAAAGTTTATATTCATTGAATAATAATACAATCAGACACTGTTGGAGGGCTATAAGTATTAAGGCTAAAAGTTCTCATTCATACAATATATACAAATAATAGAGAAATAACAATAAATATAAAAAGTAAATAAATAAAAAGAAAAAATAAACAAATAAAATAAAAACTTATAAACAGATTCATACCTATATACAATATATACATTCGCCCAGGAATCTTCGAGCCAGGCTTTTTCCCCACATGTGGAAGGCAAAGCAAGACTCCAGGAGATCTAAGTGCCACTTTTCCAGCCGCATCAATAGTATTAGAAGTCAGTGGAGACTGTATGAGGGTACTAGGACGTTGTTCGAAGGACTTTGGACTGGAAGGATTGGATAATTTTGATATTTGACGATTTAATTGTCCCCCACAGTTCAAGTCCGTAGGTTCAGATAGGTTTCAGTATGGTCTTGTAGATTAATAGTTTGTTTTCTGTTGAGAGATGAGATGTTCTGTTTATTGGTCTGTATAGCTGACCAAATCGTCGGTTAAGCTCTTGTCTTTTAAGTCTCGTATGTTGGTTCCAAGTTAGTCTTTTGTCTAGAATGAAGCCAAGGTATCGGACTGTGTCTGAGTAGGGAAGAGGAATTGAATTAAAAAGGATTGGCGGACAGGATCTGCGTCGAAGAGTGAAAGTTACATGCTTGCATTTTGATTCATTAATTTTGATGCGCCAGTTGTTTTGTTGCACCACTGCTCAATCAAGGAGAGGTGAGATTGTAGGTTTAGAGATGCTATTTGAGGATCTGAGTGGGAGGATAGGATGGCAATATCATCAGCAAATGTAGCTAGAAATGTATCGGGATTTGAAGGGATGAAGAGAACTGGGCCCAAGACACTGCCTTGTGGAACAATTGGATAATGTTTGGAGAGTTTAGTGCCTTACTTGAAAGGTAGGTTTTGAGGACTAGGAGGTGAGAATTAGTAAAAGTAGTTGTAAACCTTGAGGCATAGGTAAGTGTGGAATCAATGAAAATGGAGGAACCTTTACTGGCCTCATTCGGGATACGTTTTTGAGATATAGTGGTTTATAAGTATGTGAGCGATATCTCTCTTTTAGATATATAGATAAATTAGTTATAATTTATAGAAAATCAATACGTGAACCTCTTGTAAAATATTTAATGTTATGTACACATTGATAACTGTTTTTTTTATTTTTTTTTTTTACAGAAAACAATACATTATTCATCATAGAAAAAGTCATTTTTCTTATAGCACCTTAAATTATTTGTAATTCGATTGGGCGCCGTCTTCCAAGTTGGGTTTCGATTCGGGTAATTTTTCGGTTCTTCCAAATGTGGAAGTATTAATTTCGAAGAGGGCTTGGGTATCTTATTGGGGCAAGTCATGTCGTTAGTTTTTCGAACTTTTAGCCGATTGCTTATTTGGTTATCGTAGGGCAGAGGTTTTTCCTGAGATTTAATAAAATAATTCGAATATTTTTTTGTCTCGCAATTGTTATAAATACTCGACATGATTGATCTTATCTTTATCACGTCGACAGTGTCTGGTACATTTTTTAATCGTATTATAATATTTCTTTTACCTTTCTCTTTCGGTTTTAAGATAGGTATTATGGTAACGCTAGGATTTGATAAGTCTAGATTTGAAAGAGATACATCTTGAACTTCGTCGATAACTTCTGGACTATTTTTTTCAGGTTTCGTCACGGGGATATTATTTTTTCCTTTGTTGTAACCTTTATTTTCTCTGTTTGCTGGCATTCTTGTAAGAACTTCTAAACTATTTCTATCATAGTTTATTTTAGGAATGGGATCTTTATTTTCTATTTTTCTGGGAATCAATTCTACATTTTGTGGAGAATCTAAACATTCCTCTGGACACAATGGAGGTGGGCTTATATGTTGTTCATTTGGTCTACATTTTTCTTGTCCATTTGCCTTGAGTAAATTTTCTCTACTACAAGGATAAAACATTTGTTGACCGGTTGAAGTTTGACTACTTTGTTTTGATCCTTCGTTCTTCTCTGTATCTGTCTTGCATTTTCGCCTCTCTTGAGCCTTTCCTTCGGCGAAACTGAAAACAGGGATTGGATCAGTTTCCATCTCGGGAAACGGGGCGACTAAATCGTCCATTATCAAGAAGGAGGGTTTCGGCCCCTCCTCGATGATCATTTCTTTTTTCTTTTTCAATCCCCTCAGTAATTTTTTTCTAATTAGTAAAATCACCTCTTTCATTTTAGCTGAAATTTTTCTCTTCAATTCCTTAAACGTTTCTTCTTTCAAACATTCCGGACATGTGATCCTCCCCTCGTTTCTTTTCTTTGAATTATCATTTTCGATTACTACAATGACATTCTTTTTAGTTTTTATAAGGGGCGGTATGTTCGTTGAATAAAATATCTCAAAGATATTGTCTAGCTTAAAATTTATTTTAGGTAATTGCGAAAAGGCTCTATTGCAATATTTCAATTCTTCGAATATGTTTTCAAAAAATATGCTTGAACTTTTCTTTTTCACAGACATACATTTTTTTCCCTGGAACAGATAGGAATTAAATATTTAATAATATTGATTAAATGAATCGAACATGTATACCTAGTTCTGCCATAAATACAAAAGTTGAACTTTGTTTACATCCTTGTATTATTTAGATAATCTTTACCTGTATCAGATTATTTTCTTAATATGTCAGGATAATAATCGTAATTAGTTTGTATTTTTCTTTCGCTCAGTTAACATGAAGTTGGGTGATACAGAATACCGAATAGCTCTGATCGCCTTTCACAAAGTGAGAAAATGTAGGTCAGAGATTTTCAACACTTTAAAACCTTTGGGTATCAGCCGTATGTTCGTGTAGCGCACTATAAATAGATATAATAAGAGCCTATCTGTATGTGACAGACCTCGACCGGGCCCTCTCCGCAGTGTGAGACCGGCAAATGCAGTGAGAGCAGTGGCTGCTCAAATCAGAAGAAATCCCATTCGAAAATTACAAATCATGTCTCGGGAAACGGGAATCTATGTCAGACCAATGTCTCGCATAATAAAAAATGACCTTATTATGGCTGCATTTCGAAGAATGGCGGGACAAAGGCTAACCACTTCCCTAAAAAAATTAGAGTGGATAGATGCAAAGTGCTCCTTGGCCGTTACACCAATGGTCTTAATCGAAAGGTTTTGTTTAGCGATGAGAAAATTTTTACAATTGAATTAAAATGTTTTCGCCAAAATGATCGTGTGTACGCACACAGCTCTAAAGAAGCCAAGAAAGTCATTGGAAGAGTGGAAAGAGGTCATCACTCTTCCTCAGTGTTGGTTTGGTGGGGAGTTACCTTTGATGGAACTACAAAGCTCCATTTTGTGAAAAAGGAGTTAAAACAGCCGCTAAAAACGAGCAGGATGATGTTTTGGAACCTGCTGTCAAGCCTCTAAATGATACTCTTTTTGCTGGAAGTCATTGTGTTTTCCGGCAGATTTCCGCTCCAACTCACAAGGCCGGGTCAACTCAGCAGTGGCTGCAAAAGAAAATTCCAGAATTCATTTCTGCCTCGGATTGGTCCTCAGGAAGCCTTGATCTCAACCCACTAGATAATCGGCTTTGGTTCAAACTAAAGAGGATGGCATGCCACAGAGCACACCCTAACTTGGAAAGCCTCTAACAATCTCTGGTCCGAGCAGTTGAGCGCTTTCCTTAAGAAGTGCTGCGTGCTGCTATTGATGACTGGTCACGGAGATTAAATAATTAATAAGATTAAATTAACTCTCTATAGATATACATTTTATTTCCTCATAAAGTTTTTGAAAAAAAAAATTTTTTATTGAAATCTGTATATATTTCCTTGTAACAATATTTATGACAAATGAATAGGTATATTGTTAGTTATATATGATTTATTTTCTCTATAATTTTTATTATAAACACATTGAAAATAAATAAAAATAAGATTGTATTTGACCTTGGTAAATTTTATAAAATGTATTTTAAAAACATAATAAAATAAAAAGTAGTTGTGATTTTGTTTTTATGATAGCGAATTGTAAGAATTTTGTAAAATTTAATAATTTGTGTCAGAGGTGCCCATTCCCCCCTAGGTCGATGACGCAGTAACCATGTCCCCCCTCTCCAAAAATTGTATCAGTCTCCTCTTCTTAAAAAGTGTGCGAGCGAAAGTAAGATAAGACAAATTGTAGATAATATACAATTACACTTGCTGTGGCCTGTCACATGTTTTCCTCCTGGTTCTCTGTTTTGAAACTTTTCACTCCGATAATTCATAGCCCCGTCGAAATATGCCCCCTCAAAAATTCAAAACTCAGTCAAAATGTACCCCTCTCAAAAAAATTCAAAAAATCGAACCCATTTCTGGGCACTCCTTCTGGGCACTCCTTCTGGGCACCGCTGATTTATGTAATGTCTTCTGTTACGCAGTACCTCTTTGCACTGTTTATAATGTTGTCAGTGATTTCACAAGGAATTTCATACCATAAACATTGCAATACGTTGCAAGAAACTACTTTTTATTTTTTATTAAGAAATATTACAATTCGTCTCAGTTAAGGACACTTAAATAGATTTCAGTGAGTACATTCACACCGTATATACAGAAACATAAATAAATAGAGTAATAAAAAAACAAATCATAGAAATACGAACAAAATAAAAAGTTATAAGGAGAGTAAAAATGTATATATTATATATATAAATAAGAAGTAAGTAAAAATAGAAATAAAATACTTAGATACAAGAATAACTTTATACACTATTTACAATCAGCCAAGGAAACTCCAAACCAATCTTGTCCCCCCACATGTGTAGGGAAAAGCGAGGGTTAGGAAATCTGAGGATGAGTAGGAGCGCTACAGCCGACAACCATGACTTGAGTGGAGAATCTGGCCATTGCTAGAACTCCAAAATATCCATATTTACAAAATGTTTCGGGGCCACTGCCGCTTTAACCTACGAAGGGGATTGTAGGGATGTATCGTGCTTGATGGGGATTGTACAATGGGATTTGAGTGATGAGTAAGGTTCTGGTGAAATTTTCTGGAATAAGATCAAGAATAAATGGAATATTAAGGTCATTATGAGTTTTATTGGTGATAAAGAAGGGGGCATCGACTATTATACGGAGGACTTTAGACTGAAAGGATTGAATGCGTTTGATGTTAGAAAATTTAGCTGTTCCCCACAGTTCTAGTCCGTAGGTCCAGATGGGTTTCAGTATTGTCTTGTAGATCAGTAGTTTGTTTTCACTAGAAGGTTAGATTTTCTATTTAGCTGGCCATATCGTCTGTTAAGTTCCTGACTTTTAAGTCTAGTATGTCGATTCCACGTTATAAGAGAAAGCTAAGATCCGGGCTGTGTCTGAGAAAGGAAGCTGAATGGAGTTAAAATAAACTGGTGGACATGAATTACGGCGAAGGGAGAAGGTAATGTGTTTCCATTTGGATTCGTTTATCTTGATGCACCATTTCTTACACCAGTGTTTCATCAGGGAGAGATGGCTTTGTAGGTTTGCGGACGCTGTTTGAATCTGAGTTGCAAGATAGGATGGCAGTGGCAAGATACTACTAATGTTGAAAATAAGAGAGGGGAAAGAATAATAAGAACGATAAGGGGGGGGCCAAAGTGATAATGCTCTAGAGTTTTTCTAATTTTCCCTGCATGATACTATTTGAACTATTTGAAGACTAAAACAAAAGCTAACGTCTAAAATCTTCTAGAATGATAAATTTCACTTTCAAATGAATATTTTATCATGAATATAAATAAATATCTTTCGAAAGATACACTTTTAATCATATTTTAATAAAACTGTTCACTCACTTACTTTCTCAAAACTTGAGTTAAACCTATTTAATTCGAAATATCTTGAAATTTCATTTTTCATTTCATGAGAGATCTGTTGCGTTTCATTTTCCCGTTGTGTCTTCAAGACGTATCTTCCGCTTTTTAAATTTTCAAATAGTTGTTTTCTGTAAACTGTCTACGGAACGAAAGAACAAAAATTAAAATAAAATAACTTCATCTGGCAGTATCTTAGTACAAAACGAATGGTTAGTTTTGCTGCATCAATATCATTAGTAACGATTAGTACCGTGTTCACTCACAAATAAAAACACAAACATATCGATTTCGTCGAATGGAGTTCCAACGCAGTTAGATTACATATTGGTTTTCAGTAGGCATTTTAATATAATTAATAATGTGAGATCTTTTTTTTTGGAGGACCATCACTGTTTGGGTTGGATGTGGTGCGATTTTACCTTCGAATAGTTAGAAGAATTTGTGTACCTGGGTACTCAGGTAAAATCCAACAACGACATAAGACCTGAAATTGACCGAAGATTAATGACTTTCAATAGGCTAATTCAGACTTCAGAGGCACATAAAAAGCAAATCTCTTTCCCGAACAACAAAACTACGCTTGTGTCAGACACTAATAAGACCCACAGGCGGATCTACGGGGGAGGGAGGGGGCTTTCAGGCAGAAGCCCCCCCCCCAAAATGGTAAAATATGACCATGTTTTACAGAAAAAAATATTAAAAACTATCTCTTAAAGTATTCTTGTTCGAGTAATTATATTTAATAGGACTTCAAGAACCACTTAAACACCATTTCATATGGGTAATTAATTTCTTTATTTTTTTTCAAATTAATTATCGTTATGTGTATATGAAAAAAAAATCTTTCGGGCTGAAGCCCCCCCCCCCCCAAAATTAAATCCTGGATCCGCTAGTGATAAGACCAGTGCTAACCTACGATTCAGAATACTGGACTATATCGAAAACAATCCAGTAGATCTTACTAGGATATGAACACTGAATCCTTAGCAAAATATTAGGCCCAGCTTGTGTGATTCAAGAGTGGAAGCAGAGAACCAATGCAGAACTGCAGGAACTTTTCCAAGACAGTAACGTGGTCCGGTTTATTAGGATTGGTCGACTTCGCTGGGCAGGCCGTGTGGTTAGGATGCCTGATAGCGATCTTCCAAAGAAGATCCTCACTGAACAACTATTCTGAAGAAGTCCAATCAGAAGACCCAAATTGCGTTGGGTTGATGATGCAGCGGCTGACGCGAGATCCATCCTTAATATACGAGATTGGAAACAGCTGCTTTGAATAAAAATCTGGTGTGGTGCGTGCATCACACAACTTTCACTTACCACCCTCTTAGCAGAATTATTATTTTAAGACAAAACGAAGCGAAAGTAAAAATTATAGACTCTATATTTATTCATTGTGAATATTTTTATTTGTATAAGTACACTTATATATACAAATTTTAATATTTATATCGCTGTAATCTATACAATTAAATATTAAATAATACCAACAATACCATTTATTAAAGCCACATATGTATACTTATATAATATTGCCGGAATCCATATTATAATAATCTCATGATACGCATTCTGATCTTTCGGGCGAGGTTGGGTGCGCTCGTCTTCCTTCGTTCCTCAATTACGATTATTCTCCGTTACGATCTGTCATTTCTTCTTTAGTTAATTATCAAATTCTTTCATATTTTATATTTAACCATTTTTCATATTAGAAATTAATGTTAAATGGTCAATTGTTTCAAATAAAAAAAAATTGAAAGGTACTTTAGAGGATCAAAATCGTTACAGCCGTTTTCGAGAAAATCGTAAAAATGTGTTTAGTCCATTATATAAAGTGCCACTTCCGGTTAGCCGATTTTGACCAAAAATTTGCTGTAACATCCCTGGCATATAAAAACCTTAAATATGCAATTTTACTTTCATACGACTTTTCATTTTTGAGCTAGATTGTTAACACACACACCGACCATTTTGCGCGACTTGGTTATTTGGACTCAGGGGACCTCAAAACATGTATTTGCGTTAAAAACTGCGATTCTAAAATTTTCACGATCGCAATACTTACCCTTACTATATATTTCGTATATAGGTAAGTGAAACTAAAAATGACTGGCGACTGCTGTTACAGGAGGCCTTGACCCAACGTGGGTTGTAGTGCCAAAGAAGAAGTGAATTTTTCGCATTTGGATTAAAATAACTGCGTTATCGAGGTAAATTCTCAGCATTCCATCCTCTTTGTAACAAGCTGTTATTTTAAACTATATATTAACGCGACGCAGTGTTAGGGAGGCGAAAAGGGAAAATTATAGCTTCATTAGTGTGCTGAAAGTAGAAAAGACCCATAACGAGGTCTACGACTTATACGCCCATCTCTGAGCTTCCGTTTTCGTTCGAATACGCTTAAAAGATTCCAGGACTCGTAATCAGGATGAACGCTCGGAAGACAGAAGAGAAGATGGAAAGACCCGGTGGCCGAGGTCTTCAGGATGGTAGGAGGATCCAGCAGATTTTCTGTTGACTTAGAAAAGGCATTTGGGATGGCCAAGATCAGCTTCAGGCGCTTTTTCATTCGATAAATAAATAAAATAATCCCGTACACTCTGTAATTTTAGTGTATCAAGCAGAAAAGAAATTTTAAAGGACTCATTTACTTTATATGAAAATTCTGCATAGTTTCCTTGGAATCGTTTATTTTTAATAGTACAAAATTAGAAATTATTAGCTACAATAGTTTTTTTCATTTGTTTGTGTCCAAGTTCCGGAGGTGTAGATCAGGACAGGCTTCATGATAGCATTATATAATCTTCATTTCAGATTTCTAGAAGTTTTCATGATTTCAAAAGCCTTGAGAGTGAAAAAAACAAAACAAGAAAACCTCTATTCTCAGTTGTCAAATGCTGGTCTATCGCTGCTTTATAATGTCGGAAACAAAAAGCTTATATAATGATGTTACATAATATGTAATACTACTTACATATAAACCTGGTTGGCATGACAATATGTGCGCGTTTACAATAGAAGCATTATGTTGCATAATTCTGCTTTTATCTTGTCTATGTTTGTTATCATTTTAGATGTCTATTCGATGGTTCTCTTTTATATTTTTGTGCAAGTTGATTAAGATTCGTATATGTTTAGAATGAGATAAAGTGGTTGTCTTGATGTTATGTGACTTGGAAATTCGTAAATCGTTTTGACCTTGTCCAAACTTGTTCCGCAACTTAGTTTAAAAATAGGCTATTCTAAACAGTGGATCTCGTGTTGCGTGAAAGACCATTTTGACAATAATAAACACCTCCTCTTTACATGTCAACCAGTGAGGTCATATCTACAATTAGAACTACCATAGAGACTACACTTAACATGTTTCCTTAATATTACATAAAGAATTAACTATCTTATAGTTAGTGAGATTCGTGCCGCCATTATTATATGTTATTTCCAAAGAACATACCTTTATGTTTAACATTTTTTCTGGACATTTGTAACATCCATTTTTCAAAGTTATTTCATTGTAAATTTTATCAAGATTTTCATTGTTGAATTCAGGAAGTCATCGAAATTTGGCCAACATTTTTTTATTCTGTATTTTTACTTAAAATTTGTGAAACATATGTTGTATTTGTGTTCTAGCATTTACAGATAATGTCAGTTTTCTGTAAATAATATTTATGTTTATTCACAATAAGCTAATGATAACGGTTCCAATAGTTGCCCGAAAAACATAGTTCTTTTATCGTTTATATGACCTATTTACGTTTATCGTTATTTTTTTTTTAATTTGTAGAATATTGAATTTTTGTTGTATGAGCTTATAGCCGATTAATTATAGCATAACTATGTCATTACTTAAAAATCCTTAGTCAAAAGGTTTACAAGTATGAGTTTACAAGAACGCTTTCTGATGTACTACTCATATATTAGGCATATAAAGGGGACTCTACACGGTCAGTCGGAATTGCACTAATGACGTTCCGAATTGTCGTGTAAGGTAGTGAATGAAGTACTGATGGTGGTGCGCTGCGGAATTCAAAGATTCATTCACGAGAAGTGGAGGGGGGGCTGAGGTAAAAGTAGTGGGGAGACTTACCATATTGCTGGATGGATAGGTTAGGTTACCTAGGCCTCACAACCATTATAAATTTCTGATTTTCATTATATGTAAATAGTTAAATAATTTTTCATATTTTATATTGTTTATAATTTTAAACCATCTTCAACTATTTCTTTTAAATAGTCAAGTGGGCAAAAAATTAAAAAAAAAAATGAGGAAACTTCACAATTTACTTTAGGAAAAAAAAAACTTTAACGTTGTGTATATTTATCAGTTCTTTTCTCATTTTCCTCAACAAATTTATTATTTTCGCAATACCTTTCCTTACTTTTTGTAAGTAGTAGACTTATATTTTACTAACTTTTGTCAAAACGATATGAGACTAACCTTACTACTAGATAGGTTAGTTTACCTAGGTCTCGTTATTAAGTAAATAATTTCATAAAAGTAAATAGTTGTTTATATCCCTAGTCTATATTATTATTAACCATTTTCAACTATTTTTTCTTTAAATAGTCAAGTAGGCAATAAATTGGAGAGAAAAAAAAGTGGAAACTTCACATAAGTAATGATTAGTGAAGATTGAACGTGTAAGGGTCTTCATGATCAAAGCGATAGCGGGCAATCTTGGAACTTCTTGTGACGTTCATTCATGAATTACCGTGTAGGGTCCCCTTAAAGATATAAATTAGATCAGCTGGTCTTGTAACAGGCAACGTATAATAGAAGTCGTGAAATCTCCATCGATCAATATTGGGTCTATTGATTTGGTTTTATCATAAATAAAATCAATACTTTTTTTCTGTTGGCATTATTGAATTATAGAACTTTTGCCTCCTTAACAAGCCTGTTCTATCTGTACTTGTCTTGAACTATTTTCTTCCAGTTATCTACACGCAGCTCTATTGTATCTTTGTTGATTCTATCTATCCATCTAATTTTTGGCCTTGCACGTGGTCGTTAATTGTTACGTTGAGGGATTGCTACGAGCTACATGCCCCGCCCATCTTAACCTCCAAGCCTTCATATCATAGGATATCGATTGACTAGTTTCTGCAAGCAGTTCTTTATTGGTCTTTGTTCTCCATGTGTTAGTACTCTGATCCTAGTTCGTTCCGGTTATCGAGGAGAGAATTTTTCTCTCAAATCTTATGACACTGTATTCTAAGGTGCTGGTTAGTGTACAGTTTTCACAACTATATATTAGAATCGGCTTTATCATATAATTTGAGATCTGGTGGATACATGGCTAAAAAATTGAGTTAAAATATAGTGCATGTTACAATACATGTCAGAATTGGGTTGTTACATTCTTTTTTTTGTTTTTTTTTATCTTTAACTGTTTATCCGCACCTGTCATCGTATTAACAATCAGCAGATGTGTTGTTGGTATAATGAGGTTGGTATTATAGGCATGAGGAAGGATAGTACCCAGCAGCACCTCTTCCTGGACATTACTTTAATTTAGGTGAGGAGATCTCTCATCCTGCTCCTTTTTAGTCTCCTCCTGATGGGCATGTCATGGGGGTGTAGTTTGAGATGAAAACGAAAGTAGAGAGTGAGTATTTGTTGGTCGATAGTTTGTTGTCGTAAGTCGTTATGTAAAGTTTTGTTGTTTACGTACCAAGGAGCTCCCGTTATAAGTCGTAAAATTTTGGATTGAAATGACTGTAGTTTTTGTAAGTGTGTCTTTTTTGTCGAACTGTAAATCTGGGAGGCGTATGTCCAGATGGGTTGTTACATTAAATTTGTAAACATGCAATTTGTTAATACAACAAATAAATTCGATTGTTGTTAATTGGAAGTAATCATTGCCAAATAACAAAGGAATTTTAATATTTTTGATAGATAGAAGAAAATACTTTTTGCGCTAGTTATACGCTGGTTTATTTCTGCCGGTTGGCCATTCATTGAGGTTATTGTGGAGCCGAGGTTTTTGAATTTTTCTACTCTCAGAAACTATTTTCCATCTACGCCATCTTTGATTCTGTTATTGGGCTGAAGTCAAGACTATTAATCTTAACTCTGCGTAAGGACGCATTTCTCTGGACACGGTGACGTGTGCAACTGCTACAACATACTCGGCCACCAAACGCTATCGAAGGCCAATGAAATATTAAACAAGAGAAGCATGACTATTTCTCCACCTTCTCTTCGGCGTTACTCTCAGCAAGACGTGAGCGGTTTTCCTGCTTTTAGTCCGTATAATCGTATACGGCCATCCTTGAAAAGAATAACCTTGAACCCGTCTGCATGGTTCCACCACTTTGGTCATGATGAGGACTGGTATAGTCCTATAAGACTTGGCTAATTACTTGTACCTTATCTTCTTATTAACAAACTTCGTTATTTGTTATTCTGTTTTGTTTTTATTTTAACCACCATCCTTCACGATCAATTCCTTGAAACTAATATTTCCGAACTGGAGTTTCTTATTACTTTCCGTAGTTTGAGAACTAATCATTCCATTCACTCTACGGAAGATGTTAAAAATACACTTATCATACTTATTTATCTTAACTATCCTCCTACTGTTCACACATTGATTAAGAGAAAATAGAGACTATCAGAAAAAGTATGACAAAAATAAAAACTAAGGTGTGTGCTTTAGACCACAAGATAGAAGTGAAAACATCAACAAGACAAATTAGTAAAATGAAATATTAATTATTAATAATAGCTCATTATAAAGAAGATGAAAGGTTTAACATTTCCCTCGCTTATAGTATGCAGGTCCGATTTGTATTTTCTGAGATATTTTCATTCATATCTTCTATAAAACTCGTTATAAGTTGGTTTTCAAAACTATTTTTCCTTTTGCCCTCTCTAACACGGCCTCGCATTAAGATAAAAATTTGCATAATAGACCATTATAGATAGGATAAAATTCTGAACATTTCTCCTGCTTACAGTATGCTGGTAAAATTTTTAGTTTTTGAGATATTTTAATCCATATCTTCTATAAAACTCGTTATCATTTGGTTCTCGACATTTTTTTTTTCCTTTTTGCCTCTATAACACGGTATCGCGTTAAGATACAATTTTGAATAATTGCCTATTACCGATATGATAAAATTCTTGACAGTATGCAGGTCCGATTTTTAGTTTTTGATATATTTTAATCCATATGCAGAAACATTTCAATTATTCGACTCATGCCGATTCAACCCCGAGCGTTACACATCGGAAATCTGACGGCTCGTTCTAATTCACTCTTCACAAAAAGTACAAAACGCACCTAAAACATTATAACTTAAAAAAACAAAACTGTTTAAATTGCCTATTAATATAAAACGCCAATGGAAATTGTTGATTCTAAGTATATAAAGGGTATGTAATGCCAAGTACGGATGGTAATGCCAAGTTCCAAGGGTCATCCTCGGATGTAAAATGTAAAATATCAAATTTTGAGAGGAAGGGGTTATCTTTTTTCGCTATTGACGGGGGAACTTGTCTGTCTACGGGACATTTTATGATCAATCATATTTGGAAATGAAAGAGGTGCTTAAAGAGGTGAGATTTGAAAGAGGATACTGACTTTTCGTGTCGAATATCAGAAGAGATAGAACACCAGAAGGAGGCGGCTTGAGTTAAAAATTAATAGTCAAACGCAGCAGTTCAGTGAGGAGGAGGATAGAGGTTGGAAGTACGGGATCTGGTGGGACGGAATTAAAAGGAGCATTTGAATTGTTGGATCTGTAGAATATAGGTAGGAAGTTCGCCGAGTTCTAATAACCTGGTATAGGAAGGTAGCAAGGAAATACTGACGGCGGTAGGACGGATGAAGCCACTTCAACTCGGTGTAATACTGGGTAATATGCGTATCCCTTGAGATCCCGAAGACAAAACATATTGGATAGACGTGTAAGTTTGGCTTCGAGTTCTCCCGAGAGTCCACCATACACCATGCAGCCATAGTCGTGGGGGAAAACAAGGGAGAAAACTAGGAGTTGACAGGTTTTTGAATGGAGGAAGATATCGTAGATGGTTAAACTGCTTCAGGGTGGAAATAGTACTGCGGGAAATTTGGGAGATGTGTGGTTTCCAGGAGAGGGTTTAATGAAGGGTAACGCCAAGGTTTTTAACGGTAGTATGGAAGGAGGTAGGTGAATTGTTCAAGAGTGGGAGTGTCGAGATTCAAGGATCCGCTGAGAAATAAATATTAACTGACACAGGTAGAAATCGTACCCATAATGTTCAGAACCGGGCACTCCGGGACCCACATCCCAATGCTCGGCCATCCCGTTCTCGAGTATTATAGATATTGATATAATATCATAGATTCTGAAATCATGACTGATATATAAATTTTAAATTATGTTGTTTGTATTGCTGTTTTTTTATATAGTAAAACAATATATTTTTTGTATTAATAATATTAAATTATCTGCCCTCGAATCTTCTCAATCTTCTTGGGTCATAAAGATTCTTTTTTAGTGCTTTTAATAAAATTTGATATCAGAGATCAGTTGGAGCTTTTTATAAAGTAGTGGCACAGCTAAAATATTATAATTTGATGCTTTGATAGAACGGGACCCTTCATTGATCATTTCTGATAATATCTTTCATTTTTAAATAGATTTTTAAAATAATTCCTGTTGATAATGTTTAATACTTTTTTTATCATTGAAGCCATTTGCTCTGCACATGAAAACTCCTTTTAATTTTTAAACATTTATTTTTACGTTATTGCTCATTGTCTCGTGCAAATAATTCTCCTAGTTATTAGTCAGGGAACAAATTAAAGAAATTATTTTTCGTTTTCTTGGTCGATTACAATGCATAAAAATAATCCAATTTCTATTTTTTTTTCTTTTTTAGTATATTTTGAAACTTTTCAAATCACCATGAATGTATGCCTTTCGAGCTATACTCAAATAAATTTTCATTTTCTTCATAATTGTTTTTTCCTGATTTTTCTGAGGTATGTACTTATTTTTCGCATCTGAAGGAGAAAATAACATTCAAAATAATGCCTCAATTGTCTGATCTGATAAGGAAAAAACTAAGGATATATTGTGCCAATAAACAAATTTGCGAAATATTAATTAAATGTTTTTCTTATAATGAAGAAAAATAATATCTTGTGAAAAAATCAAATTATGTAGAGAATTAAAAGAAAAATTATTTTTACTCACTGTATTATTTTCTTTTTCATCTTGTTTAATTTTTATTTGTAAATAATTTACTGTAAAATTAAGTTTGTATAACATATCAAATAATGAATATCTTAATGTATTAAGTACTAATAATTTTGATGCTGGAGTTTATTAATGTGTTAATGTGAATTTCTATTTGAGTTCAAACATATGTCGCGTTATATTTAAAATTGAACTAACAGCTGATATTAACTTGTTTTGTTCTAACAATTGCCTATAATTTCAATAATTAAAACAGAATCTTTAATCGTTATGTGGCGACTACATTTTATTAAACCGAGTATTCCCTAAATAATAAGAAATATTTAAATTTAAAAAAGAACAGTACAATTTGTACTGTCTGATAGTCTGACTTCACGCAAAATGAAATTTTTTATTTTTTTGTTTGTTAATTTTTATTTTCATCCAAATATATCTATGCCAATATATAGTTTGTATTGCGTTCGTGAAAATTTTCGAATCCGAGTAATTAACGGAAATACTTATTGTAAGATCCCTTGAATTTTAAATAACCAAGTCTTGCAAAATGGTCTGTGTGTGAACAGCTTAGATGAAAAACAAGAAGTTGTATGAAAATGATGTTACATATTCAAGGTATAAGTTACTGAATCTTTTTCACGTAATAGCTTACCGGAATTGGACTTTTATTTAACTATTAATAATTTTATAATTCAACCATTTTACCGAAAAAGCCTTCTACAATTATGATTAAACTCATTAGGGCAACGTACAATAAAATTGTTTTTAATATCAGCTAGTTTTTAAATTCATTGGTAAAATATGACAGGGTTTATTTGTCAAATTTTGTAAATGAATTCCTCTAAAATATATTTGATATGATTTATTTGAAATAATTAACAGTCTCTCATGATTAGTTGTAATAACAAATGACTAAATATAAACTATGAAAGATTTCTTTAATTAAACAAGGAAGAAATAATATTGCAGGTTAAGAATAAATTTTTGAAAATAAAGAGTTGTGATATATATGAATATACAGGGTGTTTCAGGATTACGTAACCAAACTGCAAAAATGAACTAAGGAACTCAAAACAAGAAAAAAATTTCCTCTGAAGGTATGTCCGCAAACGCTTTGTTTAGAAGATATTCACACCTAAAGATTTTCGTTGTTATGAATTATTTACGTTATATGAAATAAATAAAACCTATTTATTTATTCAAGCTACTTTATTTATTTATTTATCAAATGTGAACTTTAACATTCATATCAAATGTTGTTCAAAGTGAATGTATGTCCGCAAATGCTTCGAGTCAATGCGGGCACATTTCTTAATAATGATACATGAGACATGTGGCTTCAATTTGATGGTTGTCTTGCACATTCAAACAAGAGTTCCACGAAAATGGCTAAATGTTAATTATCTCAATCAATGGATTGGCCATGCAGGACCAGTGGCTTGGCCTGCACGCTCTCCAGACCTGACACCATCGGATTTTTCAATGAACTTAATTTCTTACGAACAAGGACAATTGAATCTTGTGAAACAATAACACATATCTAGTGCCGTTCTGCCAATGCTGTTGTTGAAGAAAGATGCCGAGCCTGTCTTAATGCCCAAGAAAATCACTTTGAACAATATTTAATATGAATTTAATGTTTACGTTTAATTAATAAAGGAGTTGGAACAAATAAATAAGTTTTATTTACTTAATATAACGTAAATAATTCATAAGAATGAAAATCTTTAGGTGCGAATATCTCCTAAACAAAATGTTTAGATCCTCATAACAAAGGTCCTCATAACTTTGTCGAGAACAACGTTGAAGAGGATAGGTAACAGTCCGTCCCCTTGTCTCACACCGGTTTTTATCGGAAATGGTTTGCTATATATATATACTTATAAACATTCTAACATTATATACATTATTTAAAAAGTAGTATGTAACCACTAAAAAATAAAAATAAAATATATATATATTTTTTTTGTTTATTTTTTAGTGGTTACACACTACTTTTTAAATAATTTATATAATGTTAGAATGTTTATAAGTTAGTTTTTGGCCAGATTTGTATTTTATTTTTGTATTAATTCATCATTGTTATTCTAAGGGGACTTAGTCTCAGAATAAAGTTCAATTTTCTATTCTATTCTGAACATATAACATATATATATATAAATATAATAGTTTCAAAAAGGTTCCTTCATATATAATGTAAGGTTTGGCAGTGATGCTGATTGAACTATCACTTCACCAGAGTGTGGTGGTGGATGGCTGACCTGGTTGGGTCGATGCGATCTGGGCGGAGATGCGTATAGATTGCCGAGTTGTCTCTTATATCTCTTGGACTCACTTGCTACTCCAAATCGACACCGTCATCGGCTTCAAGAAACACCAATATACCATCTGGATGTCCATGAGGATCGGGCAGAAGCCTAAGTTTCATTGAGCAGTTCAGAGCGCAGGAGTGAGTGGATATCGATCGAGTCCCAACAGGTAACACAGCCACATCCCTTCCAGCCTCTTGCCAACAGGTTTGTATCTCAGCTCTTCTCTTGTATATCTATATATATATACTTCAAGTCATTCCATTATTGCATTTATAGTAACAACTTATATAATTTGTATGATATAAATACCGATGTTCTTTAATAAAAACTATAAAATACTCATATTAAACATACATTGTGCTGTTCATTGAGAAATCCCTTCATTATAAGACGATCTCTACACTATTTATAAATTATATCATTGAAACAAAATCTATATTTAAAATATATATAAATCATATTTAATGAAACCAAATTAGAAAAAATTGTAAATCATCTGCTTTTATAATTATTTTTCTTATTAAAACATAAATTACATTGGAATCATATGATTCTATATAAATTTTGTAATAAGTGTTTTTTCCATATTTTTTATCACATTTTAATGTTCTCCCTTGAAAAATTATGTTTAAATCTGCATACATATATTTTACAAAAAACTCTACAACTTCGGTTTATTGTAAAATGTCACTTAGTAAATAGTTTTTTTTTGTGAATTCGACCTTATTTAACGATAAAAAAACATATTGAGTCAGCTAAAATTATACCAATCTTTTTTTCAAATATAGTTACAATAAGCCCTCATTTCTTTTATTTTTCAAAGAGAAAATCCATTAAAATTATTAGTTATTTAAGATTATGAAATGTTACTTACTTTTTACAATATTCTGACGATATTGATCATATGGTTTATTACAGTTAATTAATATTTAATAAAATTAAATATACAATAATTTTACGAATTTTTGTTCCGTTTTGTACTTACTTTAATTATATCTTATATATATATATTAGGGTTTGTATCATTTTTATGCATTTACAGTAAAAACAAAAATAATTTTGAAATTTATTAAACATACGTCAAAGTTTAACTCCATCAAAATTTTATTTTTTTCTATTAACTGATGATATGTATTATTCATAATTAATTTAGTTTTAACAGAAAATGATACTGTAAATTATTTTCGCTCTTATTAAAAAAAAAAAATATATTTTTTTTCCGCTTGAAATGTACAATATGTTATCCAAGCTTCCAGCAGCCATCTTGATGTAGTATAGATTTTAATGGCACTAACGATTAAAACTTCACCATTTTGGAAATAAAATTTAGAGTTTATTTAATATTTAACATCAATTAAACATATTGTTTTGGCTTTCCTCTTTAATTCAGTTTGAATTTCACTACGCCCTTATCATATCATATCAAATTAATAATTTTATTACTGATAACATCTCAGTTTCCGTGCTGACCTCTACAATAAAAAATTTTTCATTGAATTATTTTATTTATATTTAAGTTACGTTTTATTATCAATAGTGGTTAAAGGATTATCAAGTTAAGTGCATAATGTTCAATAAGTAACGTAAAATATTAATTATGTTGATCATTTCTAAAGTGAACCTTAATCGATTTTTATCGAAATTATAATTATCGATTCCTATGTAAACACCAATCCGATTGTGCAGTTATTTTTTTTTCTCAAAAACACTTAAATATTTATATAAGTGATATACAAATGAATTTAATTCCAAAACTTTTTTTTTTTTCAAGGATTGTAATGATCTTGCTTTTTTTAAGTACTCTTAAAAAAAGAATTTATTAACAGATTATCATTAATAATACAAAAAAATATTGTTTTTTTTTTTTCTTTCTCGAATCATACACCATTTTTCTTTCCGGATCCGAAAGCGGCCCTATTTAAGGTTAAATGTTATTTAATTACTATTAAATCAGTTTTGAAAATATGTGCTACAAATAAAGAAAATATTGTAAATGACGATTACAATCCATATTGCAGCTTGGAAAATATTGAACAACCACACCCATGACCTGTATTGTTGAATTGACCCCTTCGTGGATAATGAAGATGAAATGGTTATTTATTTATTTATTATTATAAGTGATCATCAAGATTTGTCACCAAATATACGTTTTAAAATAAATATGCGTACATAAATAAATAAAAGATTTCTTCAGACTCCACTAATTTCTACTCTGTGTAGTTGTGAACAACATTCTTAATCTTCTGTCTATTAGGTTTTTTTTTTTATAAATATTGTGCCTTACATTTCAGGCCTTTGTGCGTATTAGTATCCAGCATGTCTTTTTTATTTTTGTCTGCTCTGAAATCTCTATTTTATGTTAGGAAACTAGGAGGTTCCAGGAGTTCAACACATATATAACGAAATGAATAGTTATATATGAGAGCTCCTGTAATATCCTACTCTCCTCATACTAAAATAAAATAAAATATGATCTTTTCCTATAATAGAAAGAAAAGAAAATCAGTATAGTATGGAAGTATTGAAATGAATTTAATCTATTTCCTTAATCTTTTAATGAACATCATTGTTTTTTTTCTTGTTTTTTTGTAATAAAAATTGATCATATTACATTTCTTTGTGAACTGTTTGATTCTTTACAGAATATTTTAGGTTCTGTTAGATTAAACTTATATCTATTTTTAATATTGAGGTGGGCTATATGAGAAGATTTATTATCCAATTTAACACTATTTGAATTCTTGAGGTTTTGATCCTAGCTTGGAAAATAGTAAAAACTAGTAGGCCCGTGCGAAACATTCGCACAGCATATTGTTAAGTAATAAAATGCCAAATTAATAAGAAAATAAAATAA